TGGGTGACCCTATTGTTACATGTATGTCCTCATAGTAATTGCCTTGTGTCACAAATGTATATCAAATTAGAACATCAAAGATGAATTACCCCAATAAAACACCAGAAGTCCGTTTGGTTTCATCAATATTCTTGATTATCAAACTTTATTGTATTCAACTAGATGGGTTACTTGTAATAGAAAGGCATAGAAAACTTGGTCAATTCAATATTTCAAGGGGAGCAGCAAGATGGAGATATTTCCAACATTGAAGCTAGATAAAAATTATGAGCAAACATTAAATTTTGAAAGTGTTTTATATCAAGTTATTGTTAATGGAAACACGAGGACATTTTTTTGTCAAAACAGAAAGAGCGAGACCTTGCCTAGGGAGATGTCAATAGTTGTGTGACAAGTAAAACTTTTGGACCACCTCCCACATTGGACCTGGATACTTACAGGCAATAAAGCTGTTATTCACTATGAGGTCTGTTGTCAAGTCTTATAAGGGCACTGAAAAAGTAATTTAGGACTTTGTTTTTAGTTTCCTCACTATTTTTGGAAGCCCAACAATGCAAGCATAGAAAGTGGCGTGGTTAAAGAAAGAATAGGGCCTGTTCTTGTAAATGTTGTCAGTCTCAGTTACAGGTGTCCTAGTGTGTAACAGATGCTTTCTTCCTAACCCGAGGCACTCATTCGTAAATGGCTAAATCAGGTCCCACTGTAAAGATATTTCCTTAAAGCTTCACCCAATGTGGGGGACAGGAAATTGGAAAATTTAGAATGTCAAGAATGCTTATGATGCAAGAAGAAATGACATTAGTCAAGTTTTTACCATCTTAGATCCTCTCTTATATTTTCAAATTGTGACAGGGAAATGTTTTTGTCATGAAATTTATAGCAAATAAAATAGCAGGGATTCAATTTGATAATTGAGTGCTTGACAATCATCAACATTTTCTTATCACAAGTACACAGTGGTCATAGCCACTGTAGCTACCAAATTGAGTGTTGTTTCTTTTACCCAGACTCAACCCACTTGTTTCCTGCATGAATTTTTGTCTCTGTTTTTGTTTTATTTGATTCCCAAATAGGCCAGGTTGACAGCAATCTGTTTCTAATTACTGTCTCTCAAAACACTGGTGCTCACTCCAGCTTATAAAGAATCAACTTGTTAGAAAGTGGGCCTAATGTATTCTGACATTCCTGAAGTCTGTTGAGGAAGACTACATGAGTGGCTGAGTTAAGCTCCTCCACTTTCTCTTCATAGTGTCAGCTGCAGGCCAGGGAACATGGCCACCACACCTTATTGTTAGACCAGATCACTGCTTCATAAATCTCACCAAAATGAGTAGTTTACAGGGTGTAGTTTGTTACTAGTTTTGTCAAAACACTGTTGAGAAAAACATTTCCTTTGTTTATTTCTAGTCTTAATCATGTCAGTTTTTGTTGTCAAACATTAAAGATTATAGTTTCCTGACAGTCATTGGATGGTTGTTGCCTTTTAAAACTTAATTGCTGTGTAACTAAAGAGTTAAATTAATTTACCCCCTCAGTGTCAGATAACAGATCTGCAATGAATTTACCTCTTTCTTATTTTTCATACACCAGAGGCCTGTGTAAAACTGTGCACCCCTCCTGGTGAAATAAGCCAGGGTCTTAATGAATGTGCCATATTCGATCACCTTTAATTTACCTCTTTCTTATTTTTCATACACCAGAGGCCTACGTAAAACTGTGCACCCCTCCTGGTGAAATAAGCCAGGGTCTAAATGAATGTGCCATATTCGATCACCTGTGCAAGAATGGAAGGTGTATCAATACCCCAGGTTCATTCAGATGTGAATGCTTTGCTGGGTATAAAGAAGATGCTAGTTCACAGTGCATTGGTAAGTAGTAGCTAAATGAAATATCTTTTTGAATCATTGTCCATATGTACTACATCGATTTTCAACAAAAGTTTTATTATACATGTAGCAAGCAAAAACTTTAATCCAACATGTTAGAGAACTACTCTTGATAAGGCTTTAAAAAGTACAAATCACATTTATTCAGCTTTGTAAAATCTAACTTAGCTACATTTTACAGTCTCCATTTGATGTCTTCTTGCTTTCATCTTCAGATATCAATGAATGCCAGGAAAGTGGGATCTGTGCCAATGGTAAATGTGTCAACACCCCTGGCAGCTTCCAATGTCTTTGTAATACTGGGTTTGCTCTGCACAGTAGTGGAAGATACTGCACAGGTAAATTGCATTTGAAAACAGAGTGAACTTGCTCCATTCATGCAGCTAGGCATGTTTGGCATTGTACTCTTCACATATAATTAGTACTTTTTTCAGTTCGGTGTATAAAATGTATTTTGGTCAAATGTACATTGTTCACCATAGTTGTTCCTGTTCTAGATGATTATTTATGTGAAATCAATTGTTTGTGCTGCCTTTGTATAGCCCAAAAAGTATAGTTTTTCACTCCCAGTTGCCTTTTTTTAATATGCCATCATTTTCATTTTAGATATGAATGAATGTGCAGAAGCAGGGATGTGCCCCAATGGAAAATGTGTCAATGTGGATGGCAGCTATAGATGTATTTGTAATCCTGGCTATAAGCAGAGTCCTAACCAGCAAATTTGTATAGGTAAGAAAACAACTTTACATTTATACAAGCTGAAACGGTGGCTCTAAAATGCTCTAAAATGGTGGCTGTATTAACGATTTTTCAAAATATTGCCCTCAAAAAATTCCAACTGAATGAAAAGTCGCATTTCATACCAATAAGTTAATCTTTTCAGTTCTAATAGTTTTGTCATATTAATGGTGATTGTTTTGAACTTTCTCCTTTTTTTTTAAAATGTTTTGTTCTCTCTTAGTTGATGTCCTGTTTTTGTTTGGTTTTCTTGAAATACTCTTTTTATGTCATTATTACTGAACCATAACACTTACAGTAGCCACCAGTAGTGAAATTTAAGAATTGATTAGTGACATGACATACTTTTGTGATATATCATACTTATTATGGATAATAAAACTGCCACATAACAGCAGCAGGGGACCTTTCGTTCTAATTCAATTACAGATGTAGGATTAGAGAAGAAACTATATATCTACTATGTGGTATTTCTGCAGATTTTAGAAATTATGGTGGTAAGGGGCTTTTTTGGGAAAACTTGAAGAGATTGTTTCTGTAGGAAAGCTGATGAAGTCCAATAGCATGTTACGTGACAGAAACAAGTTACCCTTATGGATATTGCAACTGCTTTTAGGTTTACAGTAGGTTGTGTTGAAATCAAGCCAGGAAACTTCAAATCATGAATGAATGCAATCCATATAACACGATTAAATGGCATGCTTTTTTTTCTCCTTTTTGGCTTTCTTGTTTACTATTAAGTATTTTTTAACTTACAAAACCACATGTTAGGACAAATTACTGCTGCTTTAGATCTGTGCAGTGTATGCTTGCAAAGCGTTCTCCCTGTTGTTGAGCAAGAAACCGATCTTTTAAGTGACAAGTATGATCAGCAAAGAATTAAGAAGAAAGATCACAAAACTTGGAATCAGGTGTGGGTTTTAGGTGCAGATGTATGTTTACATTCTCAACCCTATGCAGGGGAGAAAATCAACCACTGGCGCAGCCATTACAGTAATTTATATGCAGCAGGTTCAAGGGAGCTTTGTTCTAATAGCTTATTGGTCAGGATTCCAAGAAACCTGAGAGAATATCTACAGGGGTGTTGACCAAAGAAATGCTCTCAAATATTCAAAAAAAGAACTCATTTTAAAAATTCAAACATTGGTGACGTAGTGTAACTTGAGTTAATGGGGTCAGAAGCAGCTGCTGAACTCTAAAACACTGCTTGAAGTTTTGATAATTAAATTACTGTTGTATTGGTTAAAATTTTAAGTAAATGGAAGGTTGGCAAGCTTTGGGTTCTTTATATTTGAGAAGGTAGAGTTGACCTTAAATGGCCCAGACAGAGTTTATTACACTACCAGAACTAAGGCCTGTTGGTCTATTGGTGGTTTTCTGGAGTAAAGGGTTAGAGGACCTATGTAACCATGGCAATGTCAACGCTGATAATTATAAGGATGGTGTTAACAAAGTTCTGTTGTCAGGGTTAGGTGCAAGCACATTCCCTTGCCAGTAATTCATGAAACTATATAGCTACCAGTTAGATTATTAGATTTGTTGTGAATGATCTGTTATCTTTTTTTGACATTTGACTACATTATATTGTTACTGTTTTTCTGGAACTTATTTGATTATAAAGGAGATTAGATCAGGTTAAAAATGGAGGGAGGAATCTATAAGAAAATTGTTCCATTTGTAATGCTCACATATGTCTCGACAATATGTTTTTCTTATGAGTAAATCCAGTTGTGAAAAGTAGTTCAATCTGCATGGGCACTGCTGTCTGAGGACAATCAAAGCAGTATACCCATAAATCAGCTTGAAGATCCATTGTAAAGCAATGCTTGATGTCCGGAAACTCTGCAAGTGTTCCATTGCACTTGAGTGAGGACATAGTTAGTAAAATTGTAATAGATCCGAACATTTTGCGGTGCTATGAAACAAATTGTTTTAGTTGATACACATACATGTTTTTGTGAAAATTGTGAAATTTTCGTTAAGATGTTTTTAGAGAGAATACTCAATTCTTGGATGGAATGATCAAGGTTTAATTTTACGAAAATAAGTAATATTTGTTTTTTGTGACTGCCATCACATATTTCACTTTAAAGTGGCCACAGTTGTAAGGCTGCATAATTATTCATAATCTAATGACCTCTTTACAGTTTGCTTTACCACATTGTACCTATAAATGTGTCCATAGAATAGCTCATAATTGCAGAAAAGTGGTTTTCATGGATCTAAATGTGTTAAGGCATCCATTGAAGAGCGTTAATTTTGCATTTTTATTTTACCCACAAGCATATGAAGATGTGAACCAGATGTTTGCTTGCAAGCCCTATGTTTTGGCTCTTGTATAAGAATACATAAATAGTATTAAGTTGATTTGCTTACTTTAAAATTGAAAGTCCTTTCTGTCTATGAATGTTTTATTATAGATTCTTCATGAAATCAGTAAATGGAGATTTTCTCTCTATGTGCAGTTATTTGATGAAAAGAAGATAATTTATACCAATGGTTCTGTGTAAAAAAACTGATTATTTATTACCATCGAAAAACTAACTTCAAAATTATCCATTCAGGTGGACTGGAATGCAGATTTACTAACTCTCTTGATGTAGACCGCATTCAGCTGTCCTTGATTTGTTTTTTTTTTGTATACAAACGTTTTAAGGCATGGTCTGATTTACTGTTGACGTGAGATTAGTGAAAAACTGGTAATTTTTACACCATGAGTTATAACCATTAACATCTGTTAGGAATTAAATTTGTATCAAGTTTTATTTTTTTTAATGACCTCAAATTCTCTCCCTTCCAAAAGGAGATGATTGCAGGTACACAGTGGAATTAAATTTAGTTTTCTGCTACTTTAATAAGTTGATTAAAAATATGACTATAAAAAGTATGACTATTATAACATGTACAATTATTTATATTCTTTAGAAAGAAGACTTGCTGTCATGGAATGTTCATGTTTATTGATATAATATAATGTCCATGCATTTTGTAATGTACATAGAAGGACTTATAATTGTACATGTATTTTGGGTGGGAGGCCTTAAATTACAGAATAAACATCATATATCATCATACAAGCTTGAATTTTCCTTTGATAATGCATTTATTGAAGAGGTGTTTAAAGTATATTTTTGTCTCCATTATTTCACTGATATGACACATTTTTATGTTTCCTATTAGTGAAAATAATGTAAACAACAATTTTTTTCCTCATTCACAATATGAAAACTAAAAAGAGAAGTATTTACATTTCAAATACATGTACTGCTGCTCCATGCAATGAAAATATATAGATATTTTTGCATCTCTGCCATATGTCTGTGACAGAATTGACATAAGCACTTAAAATTGTGTCATTTCAGATGTTGATGAATGCTCAGAAAATGGAAAGATTTGCTTGAATGGATTTTGTATGAACAAACCAGGAACATACACATGTGCTTGCAAGCCTGGCTATGAACTGTCACCAGATGGAGCCTTCTGTCTGGGTAAGTGCTACAGTGCTTGTGTGTATTTTTTTCTTTATTAAATTGATTTTTTTCATGACAGAATCAAAAGTAATCCCTATATTATTGGAGAAGTACTGGTCTTAATTTGTGTGTTCGTGTGCAATTATGATAATGATATAAAGCTTGTGTGAATAAATTGAAATTGTATTTCTTTTTTAGGGGACACAAAAATTATTGTAAAACACCTCAAAGAATCTTATTTTGTGATTAAGTATGAAAAATGTTGCCTTGATTCCAGATTATGATGAATGTAAGACAACAGGGATGTGTAGCAACGGAGAATGTGTTAATATGCATGGCAGTTACAAGTGCATCTGTATGACAGGGTATATCCTCTCTCATGATGGAAGAGTCTGCATAGGTAAGAAACATTAGTGGTTTATTTAATATTTGTGATTCAATTATTATGGTTTACATTGTACATAAAGCTGTTTTCAGAACTGTTGTAATAAAAAGGATAAAAGTTTTGAGTTCTGAAAGTTAACTTTGGATTGCTATCCTTTGCTATGCAGTCCATCTTATGGCAGAATTTTCCCAGAGTTAAGTGGCCAAGTGATCAGCACAATGAGCAGTGGGCAACATTATACATGGCTTATAAGAATATTGCAATTAAATTCCTTCTTCCTTATGTTAAGACTAAGACTTTTTTTTAGTTAAAACTGCTATGAAAATACTTAACTTTATGTTACATTTTCTTGATGCATTGCAAGTTTAAAAGATGACTTCTTGTTTGTCTTTATCAATAGTATTGTCAGTGTAAATTAATTTCATTGTAAATAATTTTTGCTTTGACCATTGACTATGGTTTATCTGTTGTCCATTTATCTGTTTTTAAGTTTTGCTATTGAACAAGTTTTTCTTTTAAACTTGTTTATTTTTTATCATTGTCCCCTACCATCATTACTTCAATTTTAGTTTTAACTGTAAGATCCCCTTTGGGTTGACTAATGTGAAATGCCACAAATTATCTGTGGAATGACTTGAATGTTAAGAAGTTGTAATAGAATACCACTTGTATTAAGCACTTCTGTCAGAAGGAAATGTGCCCTTGTGGATGATAGCCTGTCTACATACCCACTTCACCATGTTATCATGTTACCTAACTTTATTTATATCGGCACATGTATTGTCATATTCATCAAAAAAAGGGATAAAAGGTGAAGTTTTTTCTACTAATTAGGGCACTTTACATTATGTCTTAGCAAAGGCACTGTTTAAAGGAAAATGCTACTTTAATCAAACAACATTAATTTCAAGCTTCTAAAGTTTCATACATCATATCTTTTTTGTGTTGCCTTTTAATTCAGTGTGCAAAGTTGTGCTTAGGAAGGAAAGGCACAAGTAAATGACACAGCCCATGTTTTTTCCCAAAAAGAACGTGGAGAGTTTGAAATAAAGCTCTACAAATATTTTCATCCCTATACTGTAACACTGCAGACAGTACAAGTTTGCATTGTAAAGAATTCACATTTCAGCTGGACTCACATATACTTAAACTGGCACAGCCCCTCAAACTGTATCAGCACAAAGCTTATAATTGAGACAAAAAGATTGCTTCCTCTTCCTCTTCAGAGGCAAGTAAAATACAAGAAGTTATGAATTTTTGACAAGCCATGGTTTCTTCTTAACAAAAGGACCACCGGGCCATAACAGTAGGGTTCTGGCTGTGAAGGCCAAAGAGTAACACCCACTGAAGTTGACATGCCTCAGGTAGAGATTCCACTTGGCAGCTGTGGCATTCAATTGTTTTTAATTTTTTCTGACAGTTTGGGTGAGGGCATTGAATAAGAATATAATGACTGTCTATTAATGTTATAGGCAGTTTCAACTCCCAAAACCTAACCCTTAAGCAGTGATTGAACTGTCAGTTAGTTTTAACTGAAGGGATATGAAAACAAAAAACTGGAAGCCTTGTTGTCCTTATCTCTTGTCCTAGGGGGCAGATGTCATCATTGGAGAACTTAGACATTGTTTTTCAATTTTCTCCTTAGTAGGTGGAACACCTAGTTGTGAAGAGTCTTTTTTTAATTTGGCAAATTAGTTTTATTTTTGAAAGTTACTTTTTATGATGCAAAAAGGTGATAGAATAACCAGAAAGATAAGCAGAATCATTGTTTAACAGCAATATGCTGTGCTTGTTACAACAGTTAATTTCACGTGCTGTTTACAGTATAGTTTCTGACCTTGTGCAATATGTACTCCTGTTCGTTGAAAAGAAAGTCAAGGAAATTGAAAAGAAAAAATATATATTGATCGAGGAGTATAAACAGTATTTTTGTCCTCTCTGATCCTAGCAGTAAATCATCTGGCTCGTAACATTCACTTGAAATATAGCAGGACATCTGGCTTCTTCAAAGTTGCTTTTCTTCAGACTTTGTTAAATTTTAGTGGGTGGGAATCTATCTGGCACCTGCTGTGTTGAATGAAATAGTTCAGCTTTAAAAGAACAGAGGGGTAACATAAGAAAATACTACCATCAGCCTCAGGGAAACACATGGTCTTCTTTTTTTAATTCTTTACACGAGGAAACAGCTGGTTCCCCTGCAGAGCTGTTTAAATATGTATGATTTATTTGTAAACATCCTTGAATGACCAAGAGACCACTTAGAAATAGGACAAAGGAATTCCTACTCGTGTTTTGTAATTTGTGTGGATGTAAAAAATTGATTCACTGACATTTGATTTGTGTAGTTAATTTTGTAAATTTTTGAACTTCAGATAATGGGAAAAATGTTAGATTTATGGGACAACAGAAAGTTTGGTACAGTTAAATAAATCAGTACATAATCAATCATTGAAATGTTGCTACTATAACTTCTAACAACACTTCAAAGAACTTGTGTTATTGATTCAAAGGTCAAGGAATACTGTGTCAGTATGACTGAATGTCAAAACTGATGACTTACTAACCTGTGACAGGTCTCGCTTTGACCTCATAAGGCTGTTTAAAAAAAAGGTAATTCTAGCCCAGTTATAGCTACAGTGTGTATATTGGAGTTTGTCAGAGGTTATTTGCATGTATTTAGGGTGCCTATGGTGTTTTAAGAAAGGTACCAAGCAGTGTATTAAAGGCCCCATTCACAACCAAAGTTGATCCGTGGACTAACAGATTCGTGTATCAGATATGGCCTACCCACTTGAAAGCTTACTGCTTAATTCCTGCCTGGAATCTATTCAGTGTCTATTAGGGGATTATGCCGCAAGCTTTCAAGTGGGTCGGCCATATTTGATCCCTGGCTCTGTTAGTCTGTGGATCAACTTGTTCTGAATGCACCCTAAGTGAAATTGCTTATTTACTGGCCTTATTTGTCCTTCATATTGAAAGGTAACACATCATCAGTCCAAAATGGTGAACATGTTATGCCTACTATGTGCTACTACATCCTTTTTCAGGTCTTATTGTAGTAGGAAATATAAATATGATTATGACAAAAGCTGTCCTTAAGAGAATCTGCTCTAACTAATATTCTTTTTTAACAAAATTATACACCAACAAGCAGTGTGATTCAGTGATTTTTTTTTTTTTTTTTTGCAGTAAGACATACATGTACTGTAATGCCCCCCAGAAATATATATATAAATAGTATATATAAACTTAACCTTTTTCTAAGACACAAACAATTAGTTCTTTATGTGAAACAAAATTCCAGTCTTTATTGCATTATTTCCTTAAGTCCTTATATGATGGAAATCATCAGTGATCTCATGTTACACCTTTGCAGTTTGAGGTTAAAAATTAATGAGACATACTGCCCTCTGTTAAAAGGGTATGTAGACTACACCCTTATAGGGCAAATCTTCACAGTAAAATAAAACTGAGTAAATTCCAGACATCTGCCTTAACCTAACCATCTGCATATTGTGCACTTCCTGGCACTTAATTATCTAACCTTATATTTTAATGTTGTTTTAGCTAATTAGTTCTCTCTGTATTTCAGATGTCAATGAATGTGAGGTGGTGCCCAATGCATGTGTAAATGCCCAATGTATCAACAACCAGGGCAGTTACCGCTGTGAATGCTCAGACGGATTTGAACTGGGACCTGACAGAAAAACATGCCTTGGTGGGTAGACTGCTGCTGTGATAAAACATACAGGGATGGACTTGTCTTCTGGGTCTTTGTGAAGTCAGTTCAGAACTCAATATATGATTAAAAGTCAACTTAAAAATAATTTTGTAATGTAAAGATAATTTTGTAATGTAAAGATAATTTTGTAATGTAGTAAGGTTAATTTGGTTTTTAGAATTGACATGGAACTTTTTTTAATTATCTGAGAAAGGTGCATCTGCCCCTGATTTGCCCTCACTACTAGTAGTTGGCTAGATTTGGTCTTAAAGTGCAATTTAAGGTCACAAGTGATCTTACACGATCTTAATCATTACAGCAGTAGTCTTAAAATGGACAATCTGCTTTTAAGATCAAAAATGATCTAACATCTACTTAAGTGGTCAAGCAGTTTCCTCCCCTCACAATGGGGGATACCTCCCCTCACAATAGAGGACACCTCTGCTCACAATAGGAGCAGAGGGGAGACAACTTAATTGGCTGTCAGACCAGAAATGGTCTTACTCGTGTTTAAGATCATGTAAGACTATTTGTGATCTTAAATTGCATTTTAAGACCAAATCAAGCCCACTAGTGCCTGTTATGGGGATACCTTTAATTGGAGTATATTGATATTGTTATTTGTTTTTCCAAAATTTGCTTCTACAGCAGCATTTGTGATCAAGTTTCCCTACTATATTTATACTTTTTGTTGCAGATATGATCAGTATTACTGTCAAAATGATGGAGTAACTGAATCCAACTGTTATGTTTTTTCAGTCAGCTTAATAGTCACTTAATAGCTTACTATCATAGTATGTGCTATATACAATGTGTATCATATATTCTTACATGTTTACAGATACCAAGCCTGGGCTTTGCTTCATGAAGATAGAAAGAGGCCAGTGTACTAACCCCAGCAACCAGCTATTCACCAAGTCACAGTGCTGCTGCATGGTGGATAGCATGGAGGCACCAGGACATGGTAACACAGAACTGTTTGAATTAGTGCAAGATATTGGTCTTATTAGAATTGTGGAAAATAAGCTTTAGAATTATTTACGTGTAGAAAAATGATAACATGATACAGGAAAACAATAATGGATTTTAGTGACATTGTGTTAGAGGAGCTGGTTAATAAGGTTGTTCGGCTAACTTAATGAAGGGCTTTTTTGAGCTTTTAACTCTATTGAAGTAGTTTGTCATGCTTGTCTCCAATGGTTTTTCCTTCTTGGGTGGTAGAAATTAATCTGGCAATGTGGTTCTCATTTTGGGCTCGTTTTGATAGGCCATGTACAGATTGATTAACTAAAAAGCAGCTACCAATCAGCATCCAGTTAAGTAAGTCTTCATTTAGGGTATTTATAAGCATAAGGGTGACAAAAAGCCCTGACAGGACAACACAAAGTGGCATCTGAGGCTTGGATTTCATTGCTGCATTTGATTTAGAATTCCCTGTTCCTCTGGTTGTGAAATGTGAGCCCTGGAGCAAAAGCGCAGGAACATTACCCCATCTTAGGGCCACAGGTTGACCCAAACTCACCTCTGATTACTGCTTCAACTCACCAGCTCCAATATATCAAGGCTAGTGATTGATTGTATGATTTTGGTTCATTTGTGGTTTGGCTGATGGAGTAAGCACTCCCAGAGACGGGGTTAGGTCGTGTTCCTGGAGAAGGGGCGTATTGTGAACTATTTTAATGACACACCCAGGTTATCAAAGAAAAGCATTAGTTCTTGAGCTGTTCCAGAAGATGATGGAAATAAAAGGTGTACGGGTGAAAGGTTGTTTGTACTTTGGGTGTTTCATATTTAAATGTATCATTTTAGCACCGTTTCATGCCATTTTTTCCCTGAAAGGTTTTGAGGACTGGAAATATTTCTTTAGATCTGGCCAATTACTTATTGTAGTTAGATATAAAAGAAATGGCTTGTTGTTATAAATTTGATGGGTTAAAAAAAATAAACCCAGGGATATTAAATTCTACATAGTATATCTGTTTTATCAGAATTTTGTCCACCAACATATTCAAATAAAGCAGGAATATTTTCATTTTTAACTCTATGTAACTGGTGTTTTAACAACTGTAGAATAAATTTTTTTATGAGAGGCATTCTAGCAAAACTGGAACATGAAAAGATACTATCTTAGCACATATTGCATGTTTTTCTCTTACATTAGGCTGGGGCAGTCCATGTCAGGCATGTCCAACTCCTGGAACCAGTGACTATAGAAGACTCTGTGCACATGGGAAAGGCATGGACAATGCAGGAAATGGTAAGACTGCCATAGGCCAATTTGATATACATGTACATGTTTAGCGATTTTTTCGGACCTATGTCTAAACTTGCATCGATAGAACCTTTGTTTACCATTTCCTATCTTTATCAGGTTTGAGGAAACTATGAAGTTTAAGTACGTTTTTGTACTTCTGTTCTTAATGTTATACACCTCTTATTATTGATTAATATAAATTACCATTTCTTATTCTAGATATAAATGAATGTGCTTTGAACCCTGCCATATGTCCCAATGGTGCCTGTGAGAACTTGGAGGGTTCTTATCGTTGTGTGTGCAATGCTGGGTACCAGGTTGACAGTACTGGAAAGGTTTGTTATGGTGAGTACATATGAAGCTGGGTTTTGGTATAAGACTGGAAATCCTTCAGTGATACATAATACCTTATCTTTTTGTTGTTGTGAAAAACACTGATAGCCATATGTTTGTTGACAAATGGGTTTTAAAATAATGTGTAAATGCTTGTGCATGTATTGGAGGATATTGTAGCAGTTACAGAAAAAAAAATCTGATAACTTTTTGTTGTCATAGCTTGATGAACTTACTCAAATTAAAACTAATAGGAAAACTGTGAGCTAGTATAGCTCTTGCATCTTGGGATTGAGACAGACATACCACAAAAACTTTGCATTTGCTCAGTACTCCATCTCTCCATCTCTAGGAAAATTCATTTTTAAAGCATGAAAAATATCCTTTCAGACATCAATGAGTGTGCAGTGAATCCTCAACTCTGTGAGAATGGTCAGTGTCGTAACACACCAGGATCTTTCTCTTGTGTATGCCCTACTGGATTCCGTCTGAATACAGTTACAAAGAAGTGTGATGGTAAGTATATAGAATATGAAACAGATGGACTTAAAAACTAACCAAATTGTAGCCTTAAAGAGGTCTAAAGTAGAAGTGCACTACCATATTATGTGTAAGTATAGATATACATGTGTATGCTTGTGGCCAACCCTAGCAGTGAAAAGTTTGAGTTAATGTACTGCAGTGTTTCATGCCTCAACAACAGCTGAATGATGAAGTCATGATGAAGTCATTTCTGACTTCTTTGCAAAAATTCTTGCAGAGATCCCTGAACAAAGCCTACAAGGCTTTACAAAGAATCTGATTTTTTAATTTTGCTGAATATGATAGCAGTCTAAACTCTTGCCTTTGAGGGACTCTTCAAAATGGTTGGAACCTTGGTGTCAGTTGTTTTAAGATATGGCAACTCATGGTGTCTTTAGGCTCAAAGTTATAGAAACAGTAGAATATCAGCTGACCTTCAAATTTGGGACAACTAGCAGTTGAAAAGTGTAAACAAATATATCAATTTTTTCTTTGAATAAAATGTTAAACAGATTTCAAGCACACAACTACTTCAGTACTACAGGGTGTTCCATCGATGTATCTTGTTTTTAACTAACAAGCTGTCAATAAGGATGCATATGCTTTTGTCTGTCATGGCAGAGCAAGGAAGGGAGGTCAGAACAATTAACAATGTTGATGGCTATCAGTGGGACAGTGCCTGGGGATGCTATCATATGTATTAGTGACCAACCTTGTCATTATAGCTTACATTTCATCACAGGTTCACAGCACAGAAATGTACACAGAATTAACCAGAGAATTTTCTGTGAACATCTAAATATCTGTGGCCCTGGTAGGGGGTAAGGGTGTCAGGTTTGATTGAATTCAAACAGTGTTCAGAAATAAGATACTCATATAATTTAAAAAAGATATAGTGTTTATTTTGGTTAGATGCATCTGATTAAAACATGGTCCTAGAGGGGGTAATGTTTATAGGGACATGCTGAAATTGTATTAAGAGAGAATTTCATCAAAGTTATTTTCGTGAATGTTCAAGTGGTATCTATAATAATGCATCCTGACAGCCTGGGAATGATCAGAGGAAAGCTGAGATCGTAGATTTACCAGATAGGGAATTAGTTAAGAAGCTACTTCGGGTCAATTTTTGTTATCAGTTCTTTATTTTTAGATCTTAATTCGATTTTCCTAAGCAATTGGTTTTTGTCAATCAGAAAAACCTAGTGTTTAGATATATGGTTTATAAATAGCAGAACTTGAAGAAATACATCAAATTTAACACACTTTTCACACATGTCTGTTTACTCAGTCACATAAATCCTATTAATGGTCAAACTGAGGTGAACTCGAGTTAGAAAAGTACTTTATTTGATGCTGTTGTGATTCATTGATGTTATGTGTACGAGGCCCTTTTAAGACAACCAAGTCAAACAAACAGGAACAACTGGCAGAAACAGATATATCTGTGTCTTTCTTAGATAAACCTTTTATTTGATGTTTTATGTCCCATCCAGGTACCTCATATATTTATGTTATCTAGTAAAAGGTACTCATCAATTCATCTTACTTCTGAAATCAGTGCTATGTTATCATCATTATTTATTTGTGGTGGACTAGCAGAATGGCCCTGTTTGGCACTTTAAGGTGAAACATCAAAAAAGAAATGAATTTACTTTTACAGTTTGGTTGTTATTACTGCAAGCATTATATTGACACATGTTAACTACTATTGTGCAGTGTTTTTGTTACTTCTTTTTATATGATCAGGAAATATATATTTTTTTCATCTTAATAAGCATGCAAAAAGTGCTTGATACATTTTTCACTTTGTTTCAGACATTAATGAGTGTGTTGAGGAGAGCAATAGATGTGTCAATGGTCAGTGTGTGAATACTCCAGGAAGTTACTCTTGTGAGTGTGGTCCAGGGACCATACTGGACTCCACTGGCCGTGTGTGCATGGGTAAGACAAACAATATACCTTACAGCACAGAACTATGTAGGGCTCTCTTTCTATCGTATTAAAGAATATTGTTGAAGGAAACTTTGTGTGCAATTTTGTATGCAAACCATGTCTGATGATACATGGCCATTCATGTAGTATTTTCCTATGTTAAATATTTAATTTTTCCTCTTAGATTCAATTCTCTTGTCAAGTATTTAATAAGTGCTTTTTTGTAAATAACCACCAGTCTATACTTTATGGTGTACATAATATTTTGTTTGGGTATAAAGATGTACTTCATTTTTTTCTTCTAGTGTAGCCTGTGGTACAGTATACTTCATTACATTTCAGATAACCGCCAGGGCACCTGCTGGAGTGTGTATAAAAGAGGTGCCTGCGAGGGTCAAATCTCTATGACCACCACCAAGGCTGAGTGCTGCTCTACTATTGGCAAGGCATGGGGAAGTCCATGTGAGAAGTGTCCAGACAGAACAGGACCCCAGGCTCTGAAGTGTCCTAGAGGCTATGCTCTGATCAATGGGGTGACTTGCACAGGTGAGATGTGCTGTCACTACACTTAACTGGGATTATAATGAAATTAGTCATCTGCATGACATCATATGAGGCTAAAAAATGAGCAAGAACCTGTGTGAGAAGATGTTAACTTTTAAGTGAAAGGAGTAAAATGTAATGCGTCCAGAATGCCATTTCAGAAAGCAAAAGAATAAGCATAAATAAGATAACCTTGATTGCATTAATTGTAGATGTGAATGAGTGTGAAATCTTTGGGGAGATCTGTAAAGGTGGTGGCCAGTGTGTTAACACAGAGGGGTCCTTCCATTGTACCTGTCCACCTGGACTTTCCCTGGACAGCACTGGCAGGAGATGTATAGGTAAGATCATGAGTGAATGACACTTGTTATCAAGTACTGTATATGACATGCATATTCAAACATGGCACATGTTACTTCTAGAATTTTTTTTATACTAGATAAAATGCCCACTAATTTGTGTATGTGTAATAGAATGTTTTTGGGTGCAATTCAGAATTGGCAAAAAATATGTCTGTTTATTAATTAAATAGAAACTTTTAAAATTTGATTAAATTTTTTATCTGTTGTAATCAGTGACAGATCTGTATATACCAGTATATGTTTCCTAGATTTGCGACAAGCTACTTGTTACATGACATACAGCAGAGGTGTGTGTAAAGATGCCCTCAGTGGGAACTATCTCCGCTCAAGCTGCTGCTGCTCTATTGGCCAGGCCTGGGGATTTGACTGTAAGGCCTGCCCAGCCAAGGGAACTGGTAAGAACTGGTCATGCTCTTCATATTGTATGTCAGTACTGAAACAAAACTGCTGTAGATTGTTGATTTCACTGCGGTAACTTGCATTATTAAACGTCTAATTTAGAGAAAGATACAATTGTTCGTATTCCTAGTTGGCCTAACTTCTCATCTGCTGATGCAGATTTAGAATATTGTTGAAAAGAACTAATGCAGATTTTTGATGAGAAATGATATTTGCAATTGACAGTAGATATATTGCTACTAAAGATTATGCAAGGGCAGTTGGGTTATTCTTTTTACCCCAATATTTTAATAGTGGTCAGTCTGAACAGTGTTCACCTTAAATTGAGAAAACATCTAGCATGTTTTGACCTGATAGGGAATGAAATAAATTCTATTCATATGTGATTTAAGCTATTGATTAACCTTAATATGAGTGCCAAAATTCTAACAGTAATTTACTCCATTCATCAAGATTTTAATAGTTACTTCCATAAACAAAGCTAGTAATTATTTGGAGAAAGCGCAACAAACTCCTTATGTGAGCAGATTGCATTTGAAGGGATGCCATATGATGCTCCTTAGGGCTAACCTTAACATGCTTGAATTGAGTGAATTTGGATTGAATTATTAGCAGTGACTTAATATGATTATTTCTTATTTTTCAGAGGAGTACAAGGACCTGTGCGGTACCCGTGGTCCAGGCCATACAGGGCCAGACAGAGGTATTTTACTTTAAAATGGTTAAATCCAGATTTTGTTGACCCTCAGGTTGACATCGTCTATAAAAGATGTGGTGCAAGACATAAGTGGTGCACAAAGTGTCTAGAGTTTCATTGACTATGCTCAATTAGACTGCTTAAAGGGATAACAACTGTTCATAGGTTATCTATATCTCACAATCAATGCATTGTAAACAGCTCGTAGAAATATAATAAATTTCCATTTTACTCCAAAAACAGTGGTTAACACAATTATTCTGGAATTATTGCTTGCCATCACGTGACCTCCATAGATGGCTACACTCTGTAATAATCTCTTAAGAGAAGTTAAATTGTATTGTGTATACTCATTCTCTTCCCTTTGCAGATATCAATGAATGCACTCAGTTCCCAGAGCTGTGTAAAAATGGTTACTGCAGGAACACTATTGGCAGCTTTGAATGCCGGTGCCACCAGGGCTATGCAGTAGATAATACTGGAATGAACTGCACTGATATAGATGAGTGCAGTATCTCCCCTACTATTTGTGGCAATGGAACATGTGTTAATGTAGAGGGGACATTCAGATGTCTTTGTCTCCAAGGTTTTGAGACAATGGGCATTATGAAAGTGTGCATGGGTAGGTATATACACAGAAAGAAATTTTTGCATGTATGTGCTAAAGGGCAAGATAATATTGCAACTCTGTGTTGTCACTCTGATAAGATATAATTTGAAAGTATTGTGTTTCTTTAGTACTGATGTTTAAAAGAATGAAAGATATCCGTAACAGTAAAAAAATCTTATTGAAAGTATCATGTCATGTATATGTCCTATGATTTCTCACAAAAATATTTCTTAATTTGCAATGGTAAAAAAAAAGATGTAATGGCAAAGGATGAACTTTGTACCCTTCTTTAGTCTTTATATGGCTTCTTTGAAGAGGCCTGTAAATGACATATGGATGCAAATAATTCTTGAAAAGTGAATCAGAATTAAATTCAGATTCAATTTTCAGATATTGATGAATGTGCCCGTAATCCCATGCTGTGTCGAGGTGGCCAGTGTATTAACACAGCAGGCAGCTTCAACTGTCACTGTCCTGATGGGTTTGAGCTGATGCCTGGTGGAGATGCCTGCAAGGATGTGGATGAGTGCTCTCTGGACAGCAGCATTTGCTCCAATGGACACTGTGAGAACTTCATGGGAGGATACCAGTGTGTGTGTGATGATGGGTTCAAGCCAAATCCTACAAAAACTTCATGTCTAGGTTAGTAGGGTATTGTATTAGGCTTAGGTTTTTGATAAGATAGGAATGCATTGTTTGTTCATTTGTGAACTTGAACTTAAAAACTGTGCTGGTAGCTCAGTTGTTTATGTGCAGAATTTTGTATACAGTGCAAAATAATGGAATTTAAAAATGTTCCTTATCAAAGCTATTATTTATGTCTTTTTGCTGAAAATATTAAAATTTGTCAGCAGTAGTATTGGGACAGTGTTTTAGAATGGAATATGTTCCATGTTTTCCCTAACTTTCTCTACACTTAAATAGGAATGTCATTAAAATTTATTTTTGCAAATCTTGCAAGCTGAAGGTTTGAGGTAAATACTAGTATGTGTTTAAAGTCGAGAATTGTTTCAAAGTATTTCTTTTTTCTTTTCAGACATAAATGAATGCCAGGTGAATAATGGAGGTTGCCAAACACAGTGTATCAATACACCAGGCAGCTATGAATGTGCCTGTAACTCTGGATACGTCCTCATGCCTGACGGAAAGAGATGTATTGGTAAGAATTTTTTTGAATGTCAGTATCAGCTGTTTGTATATTTTTCATAAGATCAATAGAAGTAGGGCAAAAGATTTTTTTTAATTTTAAGAGGCATTGAAGACATTTGTTTTTCCTCTTTTGAGAACACTTCAAAGTTGGGTTAAATGTTTTTGACCTTGATTAGACATATTTGATATCAGGAGCAATTAATACAATTTTAATGAGACTGAAGAAAATGGGGCTAGAGTTTTTTTAGGCATATGGTGAATTCAGACTGGTTAGTCTTCTGCTTGGGGCATTTTCAGATTATTACTTGGCTGTAAAGTCATTTTCTTGCCTTGTTGAGCAATGAAAAGATACTTGTTTTGGCAGGGTATTAGATAGTGTAAATCTGAACTTAATTGCATGTATTATTTTATGAATATTGTGATAAATAAAAGAAAATTTGCAGGTACAATACATACTGCACTACATCATATCCAAAGCAAAGAAAAATCAATGACTAAAACACATAGTTGGTCTGGAAATTTTGTAACATAGATATTTAAAAATAATCCCCTGTGTTATGTTTATTAGATGTGGATGAATGTCGTGAGAAGCCAGACATCTGTGGAGGAGGTACCTGTATTAATTTACCTGGGACATACAGGTGTAACTGTGGCCAAGGACTGACACTGTCACCAGACCAGAAACAGTGCCTAGGTAACAAGTTGGAAGATACAATTCAAAGAGAAATTTAAGATAGATACAAACTCAGAACAGTAATTGATTGTTTTTTTTACACGTATCAATTTTTATAGCTTGTTTTTATAAGACTATGGGTTCTCATTTTAGTTGATTTTTAAGACAGGTGCTTATTTTGGAAACCTAGTGCCGGTTTATTGTTAACACTTTAGTGAGAATAACAATTTTATATATATATATATATATATATATATATATATATATATATATATATATATATATATATATATATATATATATATTATATTATATTATATTATTATTATTATTATTATTATTATTATTATTGACCCCCAGTTTTGAACTCTGGTATTTTCAGATATTGATGAATGTTCCCTGAACCTGAACATGTGCCAGAATGGCGTATGTTTAAACACTGCAGGTTCCTATGAATGCAAGTGTGACATTGGTTACTCAGTCAAACCTGGCAACCCTGCTTGTACAGGTAAGGTGATGAAAAAGTGACAGGATGAGAACTATATTTGCATTCAAGCTGGAATGTGTAATTATTCATAAGGGTCATGTTTTTCGTATTGGACAAGTTTTTTTCTGAAATAACTTTAAGCAGTCTAAGCAATAATAAGTTGTGGAAAATTTTTAAATGCACTATGAACTATGCAGGAGTGCCCAAAAACACTCTCCACTAAATTTATTATAGATTTATAACTGTACATAATAGGTTAAACAAACTAAAATTAACTAATTTTCTCCATATTTTCTGAATTTTGATTATTTTGTGATTAGTAATTGAAATGATGTGATCCTTATTTTTTCTATGTAGATGATGACGAGTGTGGTCTGGGCATCTCAAAGTGTGACCAGAATGCTGTGTGCGTTAACACCCAGGGCTCCTACAAGTGTACATGCCAGGCTGGCTATACTGGGGATGGAATCACTTGCAGAGGTAATGTGTGGCTGGAGAGATAATAGAAATTATAATGGACTGCGAGTATTTATCAGAGTAACACAAGCCTGAGGTTGAGTGAAGTGTGATTGTGTGCAAGTTTTGTCAATGTTTATAAATAAACAAGTTGAAAAATCTCTTCAAAGGGAAGCAAAATTTTTCAAGGACTTTAATTATAAAGCAAGAAAAATAAATATTATCAGTTTCTTTCTAGACATTAATGAGTGTGTTCGCAACAATGGTGGCTGTGACCAGAATGCAGATTGTGTTAATGAGCCTGGAAGCTTTAAATGTTTCTGTCAAGAGGGCTTTGAAGGAGATGGCTTTGACTGTAGGGGTGAGTATTGAGTTTAAAATTAAAACATCTTATAATTGATATAAATGGTCACATTCTAATATTGATCAAATTCTGATTTTTTACATGAGGTTTATATGTTTTATATACAATGTATGTTGATCATTTATACATATAGGGTAACTGTACTAAAGATAATTTTTAATCTGAAATCTGCTTCTGAAGATTTCATATTTGAATATTGAATTTGACCTATTTGAATTGTAGTAAGGCTTTTGCAGTTTAATATGTTGAGGTTATTGTGATGCTGAGAAAAGCATGGGGACTTAATGCTTAATGCTATTGTTTTTGAAAAGCTTGGTTTTATCATTAAGGTATTTCCATACTTTTAGATTCTCTAATTTAATTGTCTCCAAACTTTGCACCAATGAAGTACAGGTGAAACTGGTAATAAAAATGATTTTTTTTGATATGGTCACCGGTTTAGTTTCCTCACCACAGCCAACTGAAATATGGACTAAAATGCTAGAATTGGATATCGCAGCGCCTCTATATAAATAAGTTTTCAGGCCCAGTATATCACTCCTGAGGNTTTTTATACTTCATGTTTAAATACCAAAGTGATGAAATTCATTTTGAAATTGAAGAAAAATTTATTTTTGTGTTTATATCTGGTAAAAAAAAATTAAAGAAATAAGGAATGCTTCAGAACTGTAATGTGTTGATTTCTGCCTTTCCAGATATCAATGAATGTGAAATGTTCCCCAACCTGTGTGTACATGGCCAGTGTGTTAATATATTTGGAATGTTCCGCTGTCACTGTGACCAAGGATACAAGTTAGATGGTGGAGGAGGAAACTGCACTGGTAAATTTACCTGACATAGTAGATGATGTTATTTATCTGAATGATAGACATGGTTTGCTTTTATATTGAATAATTTGAACCACAATGTAAAGAATATATAAATCTAATAGAAAAATATATGAAAAACTGAATAATGACATTATTCTAAAAAATTAGGCCTCCTATGCCTCATATAATAGAAATATGAATGGACTTAAATTTGATCCTTGTATGGAGGCTTCAAACATGACATTTAAAGGTACTTGACAGAATTAGAATGTTATACTTTTATTTTTCTTTAGACATAGACGAGTGTGAGGATCCGTCCAACTGTCAGTTTGGTACCTGTATTAACAAACAAGGCAGCTATACTTGCCAGTGTCCACCTGACTTTGAACTCATTCCATCTGGTAAAGGCTGTGTTGGTAAGTTTGAGCAACCAATGGAACTTACATTTATGACTCCTGAGGTTTTTTTTTTTTTTAAATAAATTATGTAATGCAAAAAATAACTAGGGCTTTATTATTCATAATTTAATGAAAGCTTAAAAAATGGCACCGCCATAAAACAGACTTGTAATTCAGTCAATTTAGAGAGTACCATCTCTACAGATATTTGGATGCTTTGTACTTTACATAACTAGGATTTATATCATTTTACTGTTATGTTGGCAGCTTATGCAAAACATGTTGGTCCCAATTTCACTTAAGTTATTTGATGTGTTAACTTACTAAATGTAACCCCTCCTTCCCTGTCTACCATAAAAGTATTGACAGCCAGCCTAGACAAAAACAAATATTACTTTTAACTTGAATTTTCTTTTATTTTAGACAAAAGGATAGGGATCTGTTACATGGACATATCATACCGTGGTGACTTTGGTCGTATATCCTGTGAGAGAGAAATGCAAACACGTGTGGGGAAGGCAACGTGTTGTTGTTCAGCAGGGCGTGGCTGGGCAGCAGGACCAGGGGCTTGTGAACCCTGTCCCTCCAATGCCACCAGGGAGTACCAGGAGCTCTGTCCTGGAGGACCTGGCTTCATACCCAATAAACTCTCTCTCATTGCGGAAGGTAGGGGTTTTCATTGTTGAAATCATCATGTTTTGTGAAACATTTTTTTTTCTTATTTTGTAAATGTTAGTAAATTTTAGCAGGTTAATAATGGAATAACTGAATTGCTTTATATTTTTGAGCTTACATGTACATTCAAGGCAAATACTATTATAATACGAAAATGTGAAAGTTGATATTTAAAAAGGCATGTTTTACATTAGTATTTGTTTATTTGTTTATTATGTACTTTTGATATAACTTATATTATAAGAAGCATTGCATTTTTGTAAGCTATACAGTCACGCATTTAAATTACTATGCTAATAACAATTTGTGAACCAATAAATTTTCTCTCAGTTTTTGTATTAATGATTCTAAAAATTTTTGCTTATAAATTTTACTTAGATATTGATGAGTGCAAAGAAACCCCAGATATCTGTAAATCTGGAAAGTGTGAGAACACATTTGGCAGCTACAAGTGTGTCTGCCCCTCTGGATATAAATACAACTACCAACAGAAACAGTGTATTGGTAAGGCAGTTTTTATTTATATGTGCTGTTTATTATTTGATATAAAATGTTTTTTCAGTATTACAGGCAGCCAATTTTTTGCTGTTTTTTTAATAATAAAATTACAATTCTGTGATTCAATAAGGAATACTTTTATTAGTGCTGAAACAGGTGTTTTGTAACCCTTTTAATTCATATTGTCAGTATACATGCATGTGAGCTTTTATCTGGTGATATCAGTTAGTTTTATTTTTAATCTAAGTTATGTCTGGTATGAACACTCTTTCTTTTAATGGATTTGAAAATGTCATGGTTTTCTATTTCAGATGTGAATGAGTGTGAGCTCAGTCTGGCAGTCTGTGGTGTAGGGACTTGTGTAAACACGGATGGAAACTACACCTGTATTTGCCCACCTGGACACATGCTCATGCACCATGGCAGAGACTGTATGGGTAAGAGCAGCTTTGGATGTGATGACTTTATGAATGATTTATAAAAGAATGAGTTACTCAAACAGTATAAGAACTAATTAAAGTACATCTTAATTTTTTTGAGGGAGGGGGGTGTTAAGATGATAATACATGTGCAGCGTAGATTAACTAGAATGTGGAAACAGTTGCTGTGAACATGCGACTCTGTATTTTTGGTTTTCATAGATCTAAACTATAGATAACATGCAGTGAAGGTATGGAGGGATTAATGAACTGCCCTTTTGGTTGGTAAAAAGTCTGCCCTCGAATTGAAGTTTGATCTTGATTCTATGCCTGTACTGAATCACATATGGGTTTAATGGTTTTTTTTTTTTTGTAGATACATCAAAAACATTTAAAACCAAACCATTAATATTCATGCACATATTTATGGCTCTTTTTTTACAGACATGAGACATGGTAACTGCTACCTGCAGGTCTTCAACTCCACCACACCACCATACAATTATGTCTGTGACAACCCTCTGTCTGTGAACCTCACCAGGAAAGTGTGTTGTTGCTCAGTGGGACAGGCCTGGGGATCTCCATGTGAGGCATGTCCAAGAGCCAATACAGGTAACCCATATGTATATCACTTAGTTTTGCTTTGTGACAATTTTTCAGTCAAAGCCTACATCATTTACTATGTTATACGCTTAAACCTTTCAATAATTTCCACCAAAATACATTATTTACTATTACAAATATGGTGTGTCTCAGTGTCAAGTTATCATGCCTTAATCACGTACTGTTATTCTCTACAGAGGCCTATTTCCGCCTATGCCCTGGCCCTGGTACTGAGATAGACATGACAGGCATGCCCTCAGACATCAATGAGTGTGCCACCATCCCAAACCTCTGTCTCAATGGACGCTGTATAGACACCATTGGAAGCTTCCGCTGCGAGTGTGATGCTGGATACAGATATGATCCTAGTCTACACATCTGTCAAGGTAAACTGAGGATAGAAGTCACTTATTCCCTGGATTATTGGGTGGGAATGGTCAGAGCATCAGGATTTTGTGGGGTTCCAAATTATTTCATATTTCAGGAGGATGTATTTTTGATAAAAAATTACGCAAAACTCATCATATGTGTCAAAGATAATAATACTTAACATAGGTTAAATTTTTATGTACAATTTTAATGTATCTTTTTCACAGAACACTGATGAATTTTTAATTATTTCTTTCCAGATATAAATGAATGTCTTATGAATATTTAATTATTTCCTTCCAGATATAAATGAATGTCTAGAGGGCCCATCTCCTTGTGTTGGAAATGCTCAATGTGTTAATGTTCCTGGCAGTTTTACTTGCATGTGCCCAGCTGGATACAAGCTTTCTCCCAATGAAAGGACATGCATAGGTGAAACATTTTGCATACAAAATAAAGGGAAAATAGATAGCCTGTAAAATATAACCTATGTAAAAACCTGGTTCACTGTCAAAATTGCTGCAGCTTGAACTGTACCATTTGTGTGAAACATTCATTGTGAACATTTGGAAAAAAGAATTGCAAAAAACTTTAGCCACTGTAAAATCACATAAAGCTCTTTTGTTTTGTTTTCGTATTTTATAATATAACCTCTGTGCTATTTTCAGATGTTGATGAGTGTAAGGAGCTGACTGGCACCTGCATGAATGGAGGCTGTCACAACTTGATTGGCAGTTTTAACTGTATCTGCAGACCAGGCTTTAGACTGTCACCAAGCAGAGATGTTTGCTTAGGTAAGGGGTGCTAAGAATGGGGAAGTTACTGAATTATGTGTTAAGTGTTGTAATACAAATATGTTTCATTGTAAAGTCAAGAAACGAGTTTGGGTTACTGTTTTATTATTTTCTGCTCCAGTCCTAACATATACTTTATGTGAAAAAAGAAAGCTTATGCCCCCCTTCCCAATTATCTCAAATTGTCAGTACCTAGTTAAATCCAAACATTAAAAGATCTTAGGCAAAATATATACTTAAAAACATGTACATTCATTCATGTGTGCATGTATCTGTGACTGCATGCCATTGTTTGCTATTTTATTTGATCAAGCTAGGATTTTTTTCCAGATGTGGATGAGTGTGCCACCATGCCAAATGCCTGTAGGAATGGTACCTGCAGGAACACCAAGGGGTCTTATGAATGCTCTTGCTTTGAAGGATTTGCTTTGACAGATAACAATGATTGTTTTGGTATTTACCTTTTTACTATCTTTCCTGTAATTTACTTCACATCTTTTTATTGTTATGATAATAATTTTATTTTGAAAGGAAGAGAATTCTTTAAGTTCCATATGTTGAATTGAGGTAGAAAATTGATGGCAAAATGGATTTGTTTCCAACATTATTAATTCTCAAATGCTACAGGCAATCTACATAAAGGTATTTGTTTGAATCATCACAATGGCCATGCATTATTTTTTAAATGAACTTTCAGATATTGATGAATGTAGAAACCAGTTTGGTATATGTCAGAATGGCAGATGTAGGAACAACATTGGTAGCTTTGAATGTGTTTGTCAGAATGGGTATACAACTACTGATGATGGACAGAACTGTAGGGGTAAATATGATATTTTTATTTCTATTTTTAAAAATACAATTATTGGATTTTTTTATAACAGATCAGTGAATTGCAGTACATTAAATAAGATTGTCAGAAAATTTATGCCTAGAATTAAAGAACATGTAAAAAAGAAATATTTTTTGATGAGTTTTTAAAGAAGAATAAAAATAGATAAAATTAATAGATAGATTAATAGATAGATTGAGATGAAACAAATGTCAGAACTTTTTAAGGACATTTCTGCTACATGTGCAGCATTGACTTTTAGAAACACTTTTAACATAGACCATATCTCGGTCAAAAGAGTAACTTTGTTTTCTGCTGACATACAATTCAGTTAGAGGTCTTTATTTTAGACATCAATGAGTGTGTGGAGGTGCCAGGCATGTGTCGCAATGGTCAGTGTCAGAATATAGAGGGGTCATTCCAATGTACATGTCCAGATGGGTTCCAACTGTCCATCAATGGGGATGAGTGCATAGGTGAGAGGACAGAATATATAATTAACCTGAAGACAGTGATGGTAACCCCCTCCCCCACTTGCTGCTGGCACAAACCTGTTTATTAGAGATCTATCCATAGATGTATTAAGTCTGTTATTCATAACCCATACCTTTCAGTGTCTATTGCCTTGTGGGTGTGGGTGTATATATAAAGTTAAACAGACATTTTGCTTTAAATCTTTTGTGTTGTTCTTCTTAGTGAGTGAATATGTAGGTAACGTAACAATGTTTCTAAAGAGAAGATCAGTGCATGGTTCATAACAAGCGAGGCTTTCACGGCTATTTGTCAGTTTCTAAAATATTTGCAGGTAAGCTTTAAATATGCATTCCTACTGTTGTCATTACAGATGTGAATGAGTGCACCAGTATTCCAGGCATCTGTGTCCTAGGACAGTGTAGGAACACTATTGGAAGTTTTGTATGCACCTGTCCCCCTGGTTACATACTCACCAACAGTGGCAGAAACTGTAAAGGTAAGGAAAAGAGGAGGTTAAGATATTTCAGGACAACTCATTTTCAAAACACATGGAATGGTATAGGATATGATCAACTTACCTTGAATTGGAAATCAATTTTTAGATTATTAGTATTTTAGTCTTCAGTTCCTGAAATACATTGTTTTGAATTAAATAGCGGGCTCTGAAAATGTCTTTATAATATATTAATGCAAAGATAAAAGATCTGTTTATTGAACATATTTGTAGAAAACAAAGGGTATTTATGTATTTGTACTTTAATGTATAGTATATATGAAAAGAATACTTTTTCTTTCAGATATGCGCACTGGCAACTGTTTTGATCGGTTTGTGAGTGGCAGTTGTTTAAATCCCAGAGCAATGAATATGACACAAGATATTTGCTGTTGCTCAGATGGAGCGGCTTGGCAGGCAGCCAGGGGAGGGATATGTGAAGTGTGCCCAAGGAAAGGAGAAGGTGAGGTGTAGACCTTGAAATAAAGACTTAAATTGCAGCATTGTTGTAAATTAAAAAAAAAAAAATTGAAGGACCTTTTAGTCTATTGTAGACTAACTACTGAGTACTATGTTAATTATTTTATTCATGGTTAAACTGGCATAAAAGGAAGATCTTGATAAAAAGATTTAGTATGAAAAACAATTTAACAACGCTTTTAAATTTTTTTGATAGCTGCCTTTGAATTGCTGTGTCCAGAAGGAATGGGATTTGTGAAAAGTATAACAGGCATGAAAGGTAAGGCAACCTTATAAATGAAAATGTGCCCATGAGGTAGCCAAATAAATTTTGAAAAAAAAAAAACAAAAAAACTGGAAGTTAACATAATAAAAGTAGTTATATCAAATGAAACTTTTATGGACAGATAGTGTGTCTGGACACACAGCTATCATCTTCATCTGTTGTTGGGTATCTGTCACTTGCATTTTCCTTGAACATATATAATGCTGTAACCATTTCCTTTTATTTTCACAAGTTTATACATTGTATCAGTGAAATTGAGGAAGATTTTGGGCTAGTAAAAATTCCAACAGATTGCCCTGGGTAATATGGTAATTTAAATCTGATACCCTGAGTACCCTTAAGTTTGATTGTTATTATTGGGTTGACTAAATAAAGCTTTGCTTTCCTTCAGATATTGATGAGTGTGTCATGAAAACCAACAGTTGTATCAATGGTCGCTGCATCAACACTGATGGTGCCTATAGGTGTGAGTGTGAGGAAGGCTACAAACTAGACAGCAGTGGAGTGAGATGTGTTGGTATGTACTGATTTGCTGTTTTCTTTTATCAGGAGTGATAATCTGACCTGTTTTCAATACTTTTCTGCAGCTTCATAATGCTCTAAAATTGATGCTTCTGGAAAAACTGTGCAATCCCTATCTTTGACTTATCAAATAGTTGATTTATAATAATACCATCACATATTAAACATTTTCATGAAACTTCTGCTTGGCACATGTTCCAGTTTCAGGATGGTCAGCTATTCTTGACAAAGGAAATATCAGCAATATGTGCATTTGTTAAACCTGGGTTTAGAAACTTTGACTCCTTTCATGTGTGCCATTTTTTACGTAGGTGGAATTCAGAGAAGGGCGAGTTTTCTCTTTCTTTTTTAGTTTCCATCCCTGAATACCCTCTTAACAACAATTAACCTGTCTTCTATTTCAGATGTTGATGACTGCATTGAGGTGCCAGGGATATGTGGGGAGGGCAGCTGTACCAACTTGGTTGGAGGGTTTGAGTGTACCTGCAGACCAGGCTATGAACCTGGACCTAGAGGAATATGTGTTGGTAAGTTGGAATTCAGTGGTGTTAAATGGTACTGTTTTCACAAATTAAGAATGAACAAAAATTGGCAGTTATGATGTTAGAAAAAATATAATTACATTTTTAATGCTCATATTTTTCAGTTAGTTTTATTTGGTTTCATTTATGTTTACAGACATCAATGAATGCAAGCTTAAAGACGACTTCTGTGCATTCCGTTGCCAGAACATTCCAGGCTCTTTTAGATGTATCTGCCCTAAGGGATATCAGCTCGCGGAAGATGGCAGACACTGTGAAGGTAAAACACATTGAAAATGCATATTTGTTTGAAATTAATTGATCATATAAGTATAGCTAGCTCATATAGCAAATAACTGTTATTCTGTCAAATCAGTTTTCCACACAAAAGATCACTTTGAAAAATGAACAGTTACACAAGTGAAATTTTGGTAACATCTTATTTCAGATGTGGATGAATGCCAGACCCCAGCCAATGACTGCAAGTTTGCCTGCAAGAATCTTGTGGGATCATTTATGTGTATCTGCCCTGAAGGCTATAGACAAGTGGGCATAACTGATGAATGCAGGGGTGAGAAAAAATTAAAAGAAATTAATTGTATAATAAAAAGAAATGGATAATTTACATAGATTTGTTAATATACAAATGGTGTGTTACAGATCACAGTTTAATCTTCACCCTCATATACTTTGAAGTGTAGGTGATTTAAGACTTTATTTGTTTGCTCGTGTTGCAGATTGGATTTGCAAATTTAACTAACAGATTCAGCTATATATTTATTATTTTACTACAAATATCATTTTACCCCAACTCCTATATTTGTTGGTCAGATGTTGATGAATGTAGAGAGCAGATAGGAGTATGTGGACAGGGAAGATGTTATAATACACCTGGTAGCTATCGCTGTGATTGCTTCCAAGGATTCAAACTCAGCACAGACGGAAAGACATGTATTGGTAAGGGTTGATATTCTGATTATCCGTTATCGAGTTATGCCTATGCCCTTGGCATTTTTATTGAAAATTCATTCTTTTTGCATGTTTCAATTCATAGTAATAACATTTTTTTCAAAATATTTTGTAGACTGGTTGAAATAATTATGTTGTAATGCAAGAAATATTTCACTTTGAATAGGTTTGTATGGGTAAATAACAAAGCAGATGGTGGACTGATGAGACCAGTTTCTTGTCCCATTTTCATAATAATCAAGAAGTTAAAATTTAAGATCACTTGTTTTAAATAAACCCAATTGTGGCCATTTTCATAATAGTAAAAAAATTGACATTTTAGATCACCTTGTTATGAGGTTCATACTGAGTCATTTAATTTTCAGATCAATTTGATTAAAATAAAATGAATAAAATTGAAATAAATTAGAATTAGTTGTGTGGATCACATTGGGTTAGTAAATTAATAAAGCCAATTACTATAATATCTTTAGACTGCTCAGGTTATACTGATCACACATAATTTTTGTTTTACAGACACACGTGAGGACTTCTGTTACACTCAGATCATAAATGGACGTTGTACTGGTCAGCGGTCAGAGCTGGGAAAAGTGACCATGTACCGCTGTTGCTGTGCCAGAGGTGCTGCTTGGGGAAGAGAATGCCAGAGATGTCCTCAAGCTGGGACAGGTAAGTACATAAAACTAGATACAAATTACTGAAAATGTAGGATTTCCTGCTTTTAATGTAGAAAACAAAGTTAAGAAAGTTGCTTGAGATTGTAGAAAATGTTAAGAAATAAGTGGAGGAGGTTTGAAGGATACAAGTTTCCTTGTACAAAAGCTTTCTCTGTTCTCATTCCTAAAATAAAAGGTGTTATGGTATTAATAATTATAAGGCAACCCCAAATATGTTTACTCTTTACAGTCATCATTTTTGAAGGTAGTTTGTAAAAGATTTTCAGATTATGTGAAAACATATTCATGTGTGTTTATTGGTTCTTGTCTAATACTTTCAGCTGCTTTCAAACAAATGTGCCCATTTGGCCCTGGATACACTCCAGATGGCAAGGGTAGGGTACACTTCTTAGATATTACTTCTTATACTCCATTTGCATTCACTCTACAATAGTTTTAGTAAACTAGTTGAAACTTCTAATTAGGTATATTAAAATTTTTAATATTACAGAACTATGTTATCTTATGTTACACCATTTTGTTGTGAACATGGAAGAAGATTTTGTGAACATGGATAACATTGAGTACAAAGGAAGTAGCCCTATATAAATTGGGTTAATTTTTGTTGTTGATTGGTAACATTTGGACTCATATTTTAGATATTGATGAATGCTTGTCCATGCCTCAAGCCTGTAGACATGGTCGCTGTCTGAACACTCTGGGCTCATATAGATGTGTATGTGACAAAGGATGGAAGGTTTCGGACAGTGGAAATGCTTGTGAAGGTAAAAATAATACTTAACTTCTTTGTGATAACAGAGGTTAAATGCCTTATTTATAGACAAATTATGATCAGAATCAAATTTTTTGCAAGGTTTTATTGGAATAAAAGGCAGAAGAAAATATATAAATTCCACTTTTGATTTCATGTGTACATTGTAATCAAACGTTATTGATTATTACGAACATTATTGATTGACTTTATGCAATATTACATGAGATCATTGATTATGAAGAAAAATGTTTATGCCTCCTAAATTTTTGTAACTTTTTAAAGAACATTAAGAGCTGTATTTCACTTCAAGACAATGCTCAGATAGCCACCAAAATATTATACAATGTATTCAATCAATGCAAGTGATTTACAGAGAAGTTTTTTTTTTCTTATTTAGATTTGAATGAGTGTACATTAGACAATCCCCCCTGTGAACACAACTGCCAGAACCTGATAGGTAGCTACAAATGTTCCTGTCCCAGAGGATTTATCCTCAACCCAGATGGCAGGACTTGCAGAGGTATGAACTACCAAGGGGCTTTCTGTTGTAATTTTATATGATGTTTAAATGCCTTAATATGATGATAAAAGCTCAGTTTATGAATTATTTTCACAGTTCCCATCTGTTTTAAACTTAATTGTAACATGCTGTTAAATTTGCTTCAACAATGTAAATTTTGCATCTGTATGTATTAATATAACATTTCCGTTCATTTTATAGTAACAAAATGTGCTTGTATCAGTCAAGAAAGAAAAACAATACATTAATAAATTGGTCGTGTATCTTTTCAAAGTGTTTGTATTGTTATATTTATCGTTATTTTTTGTTGTTGTAGATTTGGATGAGTGTGCCACCCTGCGTCACAACTGTCCCATATCAAGCCAGTGTGTCAACACCCCAGGCAGCTTCCAGTGTACATGTGGGCCTGGCTACAGGCAGATTGGGCTGAACTGTCTTGGTAAGTCAGTACTGAATAAAACATTTCAAAAGGAAAGAAGTGTGATGATTGAAAAAGATATTCCATTAGTTTGACTTTCAGACCGTAGTCATATTTTAATGAACGTATTTATACCTAATAATCATATGTTTGTTTGAGATTGCCACTAGTAGTGTAATGCATATTTTTGAACAGAATAATACTTTTTCAGACATTGATGAATGCCGTGAAAACCCAACCCTTTGTTCTCTTGGGCGGTGCCAGAACACCCCAGGCAGCTACAAGTGCTTCTGTGACCGGGGCTACACTCTCAGCCCAGATGGAAACATATGCATGGGTAAGTAAAATATTCTGCATATAAAACAAGTCTTGCAGTTTTAGAGATGTTTTTGACCAAATCTTCCATTTATTGCATGTGGACTATTTATTTTGATTGGTATTTTAATTGAAAAGTGTTTTTAAAAGGCCTCAGTTTTTAGTCAAAAAAATGAGATTGGTCTCCTAAAAGGTTTTGTAGTCGCTGACAAGTGTTGTTCAGGGTTTTAGAATTTAATAAACCTTTATTATATGAGTTATTGGCCTTTTCTAGAACATACAATTAGTCTTGAAAGATGTTTTACTGTCTCACATAGTTTTAAAAATTGATAAATTCAACATCTTTGATGCTTTGTTGTAGATGAAGATGAGTGCAAGCAGCGTAATATATGTGGCAATGTTGCTGAATGTCTGAATACCATGGGCAGTTACCAGTGCACTTGTCCACAAGGCATGAGATATGAACCTCAGAGCAGAACATGCCTGCAAGGTAAATGAACCCATTTATTGGATAGTAATCTTTGTATACCCAGCACACTTGATAACACCAAACCAATCTAACAAGATGTCACATAAACCATACTCATGAATTTAAAGGTTGAACTTTTATTAAAACTTTGAATTTATTCCATCTTTTCCAAATAGGTAAATGCACATGATGACCAATGTTGTTTGTATTATATCTGTAGGATATTCTTACATCACATTATATATAAAAGAATCCCAAGTTTCACCAAAATCTTTATTAAACATTTTATAACATAGGCTTTGGTCCAGATGGAACTGGTCCAGATGGTATTGGTCCTGGTGGCATTGGTCCTAGTGGAATCCGCCCGGGATATGGATGTGGAACCCCTTGTTTATTCTCTTGCATTCAATTAAGCGTAGGACCAACATGTGGATGCCCCTCAGGATATCAGCTAGTTGGACAGGGGTAAGTACTGCGTAAATACATGCGACACCACATTACTGCAAACATTTTTACCTAATTTTTTTTTCATTTTTTAAGATATTAACAAAAAACTGACTAAATGAGTATGAGGCATGTGAGTAACACACTATGAGTACATTACCCCATGTTTATAAGTTCCTTTCATTTGAATAATGCACTGATAACATGGATTTCCAATGTTATCATTGAAGTGATTGACTGGACTAAAAGAACAATATAAGACTCAATACCTCAAAGGCACCCGGGATTAACCTGGGAAGAATGCAAAATAATAGAATCTATCCAGTTGAGGGCACTTAAAATTATATTTCATGAGTTTCCATACAAAGCAAAGCTTGTTTTTTGAAACGAGCAACAAAACATTCTTTGCAATAATAATAAACGACAGAGACAAGCTGAATTACAGATTAACCAGCAAACCACACAGAAAACTAAGGCATAGCCAGTCAAATTTTAGTGTACCATGATTCAGAACCAAATGTTTGTAAAATGACTTTATCCCTTTTTCCTTATCAAACTTTTAATAGTCTGTGTTTTATTTTGGAACTCATCTTGTTCTTTATTGTATATCTTTTATTTTATTCCCTTTGCTTTTATCAAACTTTTAGAGGTCTGTGCTTTAATTATTTTTGAACTCATTTTGGTCTTATTGTATATGGCTTATTAGATGTAAATATTTTAATCTTTATTTTTTTTTTCAAATGAATGCAAGATGATGCAACTAAAATGAGTAAATGATTTTTTTCTAGCCACTGTGTGTCTGCAGGGGGACCCTCTGAGTACGAGCAGCTTGCAAACAAATATCCCCAGGGAGTGAACCTACCCCATGTCCCAAGTTCCCGTGACCATACACTGCCAGCTGGAGAGGGCTGTTATGAATGTGATACATTACCAGATGAGCCACCAGGTGGCGTTCCACTGTACAGAGGCCGGCCAGCCAGGGCAAGACACCTCAGGAACAAACGCTCAGTGGACAGCTTCCTAAAGGCTGTTGGGATGAAGGTAAATACCAGTACAGCCAAAGTCTTTGATTTTCAAGCACCAGATCTGTGTAGTAAGGGCAACAATATTAGTATGAATACATTATGGATCCTAAGATGTCATTAAGTGTGCACGTTATGGGTATCCTTGGCCTCCCTCATAAAAAATGAGCTCTAATCTCCAGTATATTGACCTTGAATTAACCCCGTTCTTTTTCATTTTTTTTTTTTCAAAACGACCCCCCCACCCCCAAATTTCAAATCCACTGGAAACCCAGCTTAGAGTAATAGAAAAGATATTAGATAAGCTGCCTCACATACCTGACTATAGACAAATTATGATCAAGTGTTTCCCTAATACATTTTGATATTTCAGTAGAAAACCAATTTACAATTTATAAGTACAGAAATGTCATAATGCCACACATCTTTTTTCATTTCAGACCAGTGAGGACCATATAGACAGAGAGACCATTAGCTCAGATCTCAAGATGCTCAACCCCAATGACACTCTAATCATTCATCTGACAAAGAAACAAGCCAGACCCAAAGTAAATGTGATCAAAGTGTTGCCAGCTTTGCAAGTTCTTGAAGACAATATACTATATAAAATTACAAAGGGGAATGAAAATGGCATCTTTTCAATGCACGAAAAGAAGGGAATCAGCTCATTACATTTCACACATAAAGTCAAAGAGCTTGCAGAGTACAATTTAGAAATAACGGGCACACCAATTAGAGGTGAACATGAAGTAATAGAAAATGTCAAATTAGAGCCAGTAGTTATTAAAATTAAACTGATGGTTCAATAGCAGTGTTGAAGTTTTTTATTGGCACACTAATTGCATTTGTTATTAAGTTAATTTAATAAAGATGGGCTGTTGAAAAAAAACATCATTACCAACCCATGTAAGAAATTATACATAGTTTCATGGTGAATTCTAAAAACTGCCATCAAGGATTTACTGCTCAGAAGGGTTTTATTTTCAACTCGAGATCAGAAATTAAAACCAAGATAATCATGTTTGAATATCAAATCTACAAGTAATTTGAATCTTCAAGATTTTTACAGCTGTTCCCAATATAGGTTTAACAGTGTACATTAGTGCTCATTTCTGAGAAAACTGTATTAGGATCAAGTATTAATACTTATGTGATGCCCTAAAGGCAGCCAAGTGATATGGTCGCTGTACAATCTGTCAAGTTCCATGTGTCATACCAACATGTTTGTGATGCTATAAAAGATAAAATTCCAATATGTGCAAACATAGCATTGCAGTTGTTCATGTGCTTGACTCTTAACAAAATCGCTTGTGTTAATAAGGATGATGTCAAAGAAAATAAAAGGTTCTCACTAACTATAATTTAAAAGAAAAAACGTTTTCATTTGTACCAAATGTTCTGGTTGGTACTATATTGCACTATTATATGTTCATGTTGTGTGATACATGTCAGAAATGCATTTTATAAAAGACGCTATAATCATGTGTAAGGATGATATATATGAGTATTAACTTCATAAAATATAAAAAAAATATTTTTTAAGTCCGATGTTACAGGCTTTAAATGTTTGCATGTTTTCTAAATAGCCTTAAATGTATCAGTATACTGCAGTTTATATTACTATCAAGGTGACAATCTGTAGTTAGAACAGCTGAAGCACTTCATCTTCTGTGGGATAAGTGTTGTTAAGTGTACATACAAGATGTAAAACTTGTTATTAACTGGTCTTTATTACAATGACAAGTACTGCAATTGAATATAGATCAATTCATAATTGTAATGAATAAGCTTATGTTTAAGGAACTGAGTGTTATAGAATGCTGATGTGATTGTCCAGAGTGAAAAATCTACAGTAAAACGACCACTTATGCAAGATAATGCAACAAATGTTAATTCAGCATTAACAGCAAAATAAAAAGAAGTATTATGAGAAAATGGAGGACTATGAAAGCAGGAAAGCTTCCCTGGGGGTTACATGGTCAGTTATAAAAAATAATCTCTAAAATCACTCACAATGTGTTCAACTAGCTTCCAGGAGGAGATTAAGAAAGTCTTTGAAGATCTTTCAATTCAGGTCAGCCACCTTGCTCAGAGCAATCCTGCATAATTGGTCTTTGCCTACACCTCAAACCAGAACAATTGGAATTTAGGTATCACTTTTCCTCAGTAAGAAGTTCAATACTGATATAATTTGTTACAAGTACTGATTTTAACTTGGGGCATATATGCTATATTCAGGGTGCTAGTATTAAATAGGAACAATACTTTTTGAAAACACAACACAAAATATCTGCTTTAAGGTGAGGAAAAGATTGCTCTGATTGGTGCTGTGTAGGAACTGTTGACTGTCAAGGCCATATGGGTCTGACTAGAGAAGGTTGTAATGTACTTTTATTATTACATGTACTTGTGTTATTATACAGCATAGCTGGGAGAAATAAAAAACGTAAAAAAAGTTTATTTCTGTTACTTATTACATATGGATATTACATGGGTGAGTTGTGAAAAATGAAAATCCTGAAAACATACCTTGCAATTTCTCATTGCATTTAGACCCTATGAAAATTATCAAAATTAAGCATTAAAATCCTGAAATCGGGCATAACCTGGAAACTTTCACCCATGATGTTATTATCATTAACATTTAAAAGTTTGAGCTATTTAAGAAGGCATGATGTACATTATTGGAAAAAAATATACAGATTCTTGCAGGATAACATTCAAGAACTTCAACTGAAAAATGTTCATCATACATTAAACCTAAGCTGTGGAAATCAAAATAAACTCCCCTTGCAATAACTGCTGCATTAGGGCCACAAGCAGGAGATTTCAGCTTAGGTTACTGATCACTGAACCTGCAGTAGGCTCATATTTACCACGAGGGGCATAGATGGCTTTCAATTTTCATACATATATTCCTGGTGAACAAAAATATATGTATGAAAATATAGAAATATCACTCAAATCTTTGTAGTTGAAGTTTTGCTAAATGATAAATTTAACTTTGGAAGAAATACTTTCATCCAAGTACTTCTGGTTCCACTTTCATCTTCATCACCTATTTTCTTCCCATTCTTGTATTTTGCCAGCAGCTGATTTGGACAAATCTTCACAATTTTTCAGCAACTCTGAAATATCAATCACAGCTATGTCACTTTTAAGGATCCCACTTCATTTTTGAGCATCATAAGTTTGAGTTATCTAATTTGAATACAAAGTAAATGAGCTACTACCTCTGAGCTGCTGCTCTGCATCCAGTAAGACTGCCTTTTGTGGTGATGTGTTCCTTTTGTCCCAAAAATCTGATGGAACCCAGGAACCAGCCCCACCCAAGTCTTCCGCTCCTCTAGGAGTCTCGTTAGATTCTTGTAAAGCAAAAAGAAAAAAAAAAAAGAGAGAGAGATAAAGAAATTAAATGTCTTGCTGCTTACCATTACTTCTAAAAAGATTGATGAGAAGTTGGGGTGAAAATATTTAGCTATATTTTCTTGTGTATTTTTCTAGAAGATTAATTTACCTTTAAGTTCTTCATCTAATTGCTCGTAGAGTTTGAATAGATCACTTCCTCTGCCCTTCAACCTTTCACCTATTGAAAATACAAAAATTTGATAGTGGAGAAAATATATATTATAAATCTGGCTTTTATCCTTACCAATAAAAAACAGGTTCTTTTCTAACTCTGATTTTCAACTATTATCACAATCAAACTGATCATACTTTGACTCTGTCAACAACGAGTTTTTGTACATTACTTAAACATTCATGATGAGCAAAAAATATCACAAAATTCCATACCGTCTAGAATCACAAGTATAGGCAGCATGGTTGTAACATCAGATTTATAGGTGACATTCATACATATAGGGTTGCTTAGACCACTGGTTGTATCCTGGAGCCTCAGATCTCTCAACTTCTCTAGGCAGCTCAGGCAGCGAAGAGTATCTAAACTGTTAGATTGAAAAAATATCTGAATTATACTGTATAGAAATATGTTATTATTCTTCTTCAAAACAGTAAAACACTGTAAAATTAGTAACTTAGACATTTTTTACATAGGTAGCATACAGGCAAGCTAAAATGTTATTTTTGGTAATTTAGAAATGTATCCTTTTGTGTGCTAGAGAAATCATATTATTAAATAAATACAGCTAAATACAGCTTTTAATGAATGAAGATAGGATGTTAGGAATTATATTTTGTAAGTACCTCCCTATCAAATTTCCTGCCAAGTTAAGTTTCTGCAAGTTGTCCAGCGACTGTAAACCATCTGAAAATTTGGAGTTGTAGTTATTAAAACTGTGCTTAAAATAATAATAATAATAATAATATGTAACAGACAGACAGATTTAGAATATCAAGAAGGGAGGGGCCCAATATTTTGATCACCACCTCTTCCCCCTTATATCTGCTATCAGACTTATAGTAAAGAATAATTACAACTCCAAATACTTGCCTAGCGAAGATATCCTATTTGCTGCTAGGTTGAGATATACTAGGTTGGTAAGTCCTGCTAATGAAAACAGCTTTGTTACATCGTTGAAGGACAGGTCCAGTCTTTCCAATCCAACACACTCTCCCAGACAGCCGAGACCACTAATATCTGAAAGAAAATAACCAGTGTATTACAAAAAAAAGGAAGAGCAATGGTTTATCAATTTCTTGTTGTGATATTTATTTACACTGCATTTGTGTCAAAATATCATCATCTGCATCAACTAGTAGATATCAATAGTGTTGACAAGCCCTTAAATATATGGAGGGTATATATCATACAATATGAGCTTTCTGTCTTTTGATGCACCTATATCACTCACATACGTATACTATGTACATTGTACAAGTTGCATGTAAAGCAAATGTGCTGTAGTAAGGAATAAAAAGTAGTATTTAACAAATAAATCAATCTACCTTTTTATAAGTAAAATCAAGTGTTATCAAAATACAACTGTTTTTACTCACTTTGACTTCTCAAAGACAATGAATGAATACTTTCTAAATCAAATTCTCTGCTTTGGCTCTTCATCATCTGTCTGGTAATGACAGTGGCTGCAGTGTAAACACACAGCAAAATAAAATTAGAACTTAATTGTAAGCAAATACTAAAACCACTATACACCCCGGAAACAAATTTTTATATATTTGATAAGATTGATTATGCTTGTTAGGTCTCTAGCAGTAAATAATCCAATATATATGTATTTCTACTGGTATCCATAGTGAAATGCATGTTTTCTACAGCGGAATGCCAACTGTTTGTTCATTCCTAAATAAAAATAAAACTTGGCACATGAATCATTTTAGTTTTTGTCTCACTGTTGTAGGGCCTTGCTCTCTTCCATGTTCATCGCATATAACAATTCATTTGTATCAATCCTTTTTTACTTTTTGTGTTCTAGAGCTTACGATACCAATAAAAAGGAGAGCTAACGTGTAGATATTCAAGATACAATGTACACTAAGTCTAAGACAATTTTAGTATCTGGTCCCATTTTCAAAATAATTGATTATTGCAAAAGACACCAGATTCCCCCATTATCCCTGACTCTAAGAGATAGGGAAGCGTTCTTACCGCTTCCTCCCTCCATATCTCACTAAATTGCAATGCAGAGACGTTTAAAATTAGCAGCAGCTCATCCTTCAGCTGCCCGGAAGTTTATATGTTGCTATAGCTGTTTTGCGGTTGTCGTTAGTAGATACATAACATAGAGTTCATACACATGTATACTGGATAGATTATATTGATGAGGGAACTAAATAAATGTTTTAGGCACGTCATATTTCATTTTATGCATACATTACAGGTTTATTTTGGCCTTTTTTCGTGAATACCGATAGATACTTGTGAATAACGACCCACTTACAGCAGCAAGAACTTTGAAAAAATAAAATTTGGACGACAGTGATTTATTGACATATTTTTGAGATAATTAGAGTCTACACATTTTCATATGTGATTTAAATCTTTATTATCATAAATTATAATGGGAAATAAGCAGACAACTTTCACGGACGAACAGCTTGTTGCATACCAGGTAAAGTTATAATGAAGTTGTGTCGAAAACTCGAGATATATCATCTAAGTGACAAGTGACTGTTAAGAATCTTTAATTTTTTAAAAAAAATGTGAACTAACTTTTTAATTGGGATTTTCATAGGCTTTTCGTCTGGATTCTGTTTTATCAGTAAACTTTTGGTTTCTTTGAATAACTAACTTAAATTGGTCAGTTGTTTATAGAGCCCCCAGACCTCTTCCTTGAACACTTTTCTAATTTACTGGTACGGTAGATATATTGGTGTCATTTGAAATAGGAAGATGACACAGTACAGATTCATTTGCTGCTGTATCGAGCAAGCATTAAGTGCAGAAGTGTATGTCACATATAGCAAGGGACACAGTACAGAACCTGGTGGAATATCACCTGACACTTCTATCCACTTCAAAAATGTTTGAATTATTTTGTGGAACACGATCAAACACCTTTAGGGAATCATTCAACAATTTTTTTTTATTTTAGGATTGCAGCTTTTTCACCAGAAAAGAAATATTGAGGTAAGATACTATTTACATTTTTACATTATCATTAATTCATTATACATGACAAGTCGCAGTGTCCAGTTACTTTAATATAACAGCAATTGTTTGTGAATGGCATCTTGTCTTTGGCATTCATAAATGTTTTGTAGCATGGGCGTAACTAGGCATACGCACGGATGCACTGTGCGTACAATTTTTTTGGCCAACCATGATATTATTTTATATAAATTTAGTGTATTTTTCACGGAATATATATCAAAAATCCTCTGCGAATTAAAGTCACCTGTATGTACAAATCTTCTGTATACGCACAATTGTTCTGACCCCCCGTCTTGCATACTTTTATTCAACTGAAGTAAACAATGCCTGTTACCTGTACAAGTCCTATCCTAATCGTCCATCTAACTGGAACATCCTTTACCTCTTAATTGGAGGGTTAAGTGGTCTTCAACTCTCCTGTAGTCATGAGAGTAACGAACGCACTCTCGCTGGTGATATTTATCTCAGGTAAAATCTACCTGTGTGTTACTTTCAAAGAGCAGCTCCCGTAGACCTGGGGGCACTAGCTAAAATCTGGACACCAGGTTTAATAAGGAGCTAGAGAAACAAAGGAAGAATTTTTCCTGCAAAGATTCAAAGAATTTCACACGGACTTGATCCAGCTTAGTCCTCCAAACTAATAGGGTGACATGGGCAATTTCCACAAACAAATAAGTAAACTTAGATGTATCAGAGCTCTATTGTGTCATATAATTGGTTGTTTTTGGGAGCCATGCACCTGCATGAAAGCTGGATGAAACCATATGCAAGTTCAACTCAGAGGAGGATCCAGCATTATTCGAAGAGGGGAGGGGGGGGGTCTGCTGATGCGAAGTTAGTCTCCTTTTAAATGAATATACCGTTCTGGGTAAATAAAAATATTGAAACTTTATTAAATCGCGAGAATATTAAATGATTATTTTATTATTAATGGAAATTAAGCTACGATGTGTGGTACATATGCTGTGATTACGCTGTCCTTCATCTGTTGCGTTAGTCTACATTTTGCTGTACATGCTGGGTATTTTAAAAATCTGTGCGTACAATTTTTAAAGGTCTGGTTCCGCCCCTGTTGTAGGATAAAACTTATTGTTTTAAAAAGTCAAAGAGTTGTTTAGATTCATAAAAAGACTTCTCAGTCATGTTAAAAATACAAACATTTTCATCCATTTTTTCAGGATCTTTCATCGCTTCAGAGAGCTTTATTCTGAGGGAGTTCCAAAGGATATGACCCACAATGAAGCCCATACCATCAGGGTGCCTTTTGAAGAGGTGGAAAAGATGCAGGAACTGAGGGTACATTGAACATTTTCTATCTTTGGTTATGTATGTAGACTAGATGGTTGAAAATTAATTGAATATAAACTGATTAGAATTTTCAAATAATCATAAAGAGCCTGTCAGAAAATCATCTCTAAAACCAGCAAGTGAAAGATAATGGCAGTAGACATTTTGTAGACAGATGGAAGGTTTTTATATTTTAAAAATTTTATATTTTGAAATGTTTTTTTTTAATTGATTGCATAATTTGTATATGTTCCAGGAAAACCCATTCCGTCGTAGAATTTGTGAAGTGTTTTCTGAAGATGGCCGTGGTAACATGACCTTTGATGATTTCCTTGACATGTTCTCAGTGTTTAGTGAGGCAGCTCCTAGGGATTTGAAATCAGTTTATGCCTTTAGGATATATGGTAGGCTCTATTAAAGATTGAATTATGCTGATAATATATAGCATTTTGCTAAACGTCAGACTGAGAACAGAATCTTAAATTTTTTTTTTAAATGGCAGATTGCTTGATTTACATGTTAAAAAAGATCGTTCCTAAGGTAGTTTTATCATATAGGATACTTTGTATTTAATGTCTGTATTTCTAGATTTTGATGGAGACAACTTTTTGGGAAAACATGACCTGGAGAGGACACTGGGATGTTTGACCAGGAATGAGCTGACTTCTGAGGAAGTAGATCTTGTGTGTGAGAAGGTAGGTGTTATAACATAACTAATAATAGACCGAATACTAGTCATCAATCTTCTTTTAAGCAAGATGATCATGAGCACCAAATTCTATTGGTGATATAAGTCAAGGTGTCAGGTTTCCCTCTCAAAAAATAAATAAATAATAAATACATATTAAATAGCAAATGAAAGTAAAATCGGTAGTGAAAACTTTTTAGGGATTTACATACTTTTGGTGGTGCTTTGTTAAAATATGTAACAATATGCATAAAGGTGTTGTAAACAGTGCAACATTTTTAAATTAAAAGGTGATGGAAGAGGCTGACTTGGATGATGATGGCAAGCTGTCTTATGTAGAGTTTGAACACGTTATCTCCAGAGCTCCGGATTTCCTAGGGTAAGTGAAGGTTTAGAATATTTTTATGGCAATAATGCATTGTTTAATATTATGTTCTGATAAAGAAAAAGAGGAATATAGTTGAATTCTATGTAACAAAGCATGTAAGCATGTAAAACAAAGGATAGTTATTGTAATTTTATACGTACCAGCAAAATGAAGCCACTAAATAGGGAATCATTTCAATTATAATTCCCTCTATGTATGCACACACATACACATGTATAAGATAGTTAAACAGATGGATCAAAATACATTGCCATACCACAGTCACTTAGACTGTCACTAAGATGGTTTCAGGGCTAATTAAGTATAAGAAAAAGATTGAAAAGAAAAAGAGCTCTGATATTCATCTGTAGTATGCATTGTGTCTTTTGGTGAGAGTGCATTGTATGCACACACATTTACATTGTCTGTGGAAACCAAGTAGGCCTTTAGTTTTTCTAATTTTTTTTACCTTTTTTTCAGAACTTTTCATATCAGGATATAATGAAACTGTGTATGGAAAAACCTCTGCATGACCATGACAAAGGACAGTTTTTCATGAGTTTTTCATGAACTTTACTACAAGTTGTACATGGAATATCTCAACAATTGATTTTTTAGCCGACAAAATTAAAGTTAAGTTAATAATATGTCATATAAAATACGAAGAAAATTAAACTTGTGAGTATTTAACTGAATTGGCTAGCAGTAGAGCAGGCTACTGATGAGTTTTATAAAAATTGACACTTTGAGCAATCAGAAAATGGTTTTATGTTCTATTTCTAGGAATTTAAGTGACTTACATCAAATTGAGTTCTTTTCGGTCTTTTTAAAATACACTTATTCCATGAAGAAGAAATATGTAGCATGTTTTATATGGGAACATTTGATATTTCTGCAGTAACAGCAGTCCTCAAATGTAGGTAGCTGTCTGTGTGTAGAGAAATTTTTTGTGATGTCTTCAGTTGAAAATGTCTGTAGCAGCTTTTTGTGTGATTGTTTTGATAGGCAGCATTTTTTTTTCATAAATAATAAAAATCCAAACATTCCAGTGATTTCTTGATGTAATGCTAATGATTTATACAAGTGTTTATATTGAGCTGGTATAATATCTACTTAATTGTGCCATAAACTACAATAAGGTGGGGGTTAGGGTTAATATGCTTTACATACCGTTACTGTTAGTACTTGGATAGATTAAAAATTTTATTAATTAAAAATTCAACATAATTTTAATTGAGTTAAATTCGATGCTTATAGTTCTGTTGTTTTGAATGCTTGTTCTTCTATAGAAAATTTTCTATTTATTATATTTTTGTAAGACAGAAATGTTACGTATAAGCATTGTCAGGGACTTTTTTTGCAGAATATTTAGCAATAATTTGTTGTCCAGCAAGGTCACTTTTATTTACTATCAGCATAAGTGTTATGTAATACAATCAAAATTATTTGCAATATTTTGGTTATTCATTTAAAGATTGGTTTAAATGATTTTGTGCAATATTTAGTTGCTGTGCAATATATATATTTTTTATTTTTATCTTCAAGAGTTATAAAAGGTCACAATATGTTTCCTTGTCAGTTTTATCGGAAACTGTTTTTTTTTTTTTTTAATTGGATTTTCTCCCAAATTAAATTATATGATATCAATGTATTCCTTTTGTTGTTATCTTAATTGTATACAATATTGGTTGATGTTTTGTTTGTGTTTAGCTTATTGGTAAGGTGCTAAATTTACTGTATAATTATTTGTGTGTAATACAGGAATAAAGGTTTTCAAAAAATGAAAAGTAAATAATCTTTGAAGAAAATGAAATTATCAAAGATAAATACTGTTCAAATTCCAACATCTCTAGCTTCAGTTCCACAAGCAGGACATGGAGTGTATCATTTATATCAAAAAGGACCTCCACATATTTAGGAAGAGAAAAAAAAAGATACAGGTCCATTTTGGTGTTCCAGTGTATTGTCTTTTATTGTGATTGTAAATACAGGAATTTGTTAAATAGGTAACATGCAATATTCCTGACAAAATAATCATACCATTTATCTTGTTTTTTTTTCCAGTATCCTAGATTTATATTCAGTATTGCTATAATTACAACAGATTATGCTTGTTCTGTGCATTATTTTGAGGCACTCTGGGGGCATAGTTCATATTCTACTTTTTTACCTAAAGCTGCAATCAAATAGATTACAATGGACTTATTCCAGCTATTTAACAGATCTACAATGTACAATAATGGTATGTTAAACACATTAAAAAACGTCAATTGCTTTTTTTAAGATAAATTCTGTTGCTTAAAATGGCATTCTTCTCATAAACTATGTTGTAAGAGCTTTGACAATGAATAGTGTTGTGCCACATAAGCATGGACAATGAAATTTTAGCACACTTTACTTCTCTTTGAGATCTTATGTATGTTCTCCTTTGATGTATTCTAATGATCTAACTTATGAGATCTTAGTGTTCAAAACAGGTAATATGCATATTTCATATTATAACAAATATACATGAACAAATATCTATCATGGTTTGCCCTTAATAACATTTTGGCGTAAATTAATTGCCACATTTCATGTGATCAATTAATCTGAAATGACACTGCAGCTTCATACCACCTCATCAATTATCCCGATAGTCATTAACATCTGTTTCAATGAACCAACACACTCAGTTTTAATCTCAGTGCCCATTACTCATACACAAGGAGTACAAATCCCATAGTCACCATTCAACGACTGATGCACTGCTTCCCAGCCAACTCTGGTTTCAACATATTTATAGTTTATGGTTTCCATAAGTATACATGTGCTGCATAGGGGATACAGTGTAATTAATCAATAGGGTTTTTATGTATATGCTCAATTGGTTTGACTATAATCCAACATACTTGAATATGCAGATGCAAATTTAAAAGAATGCATTTATTTTCACCAATCTTCTGACACAGATCCAAAACCAAACACCAAAAAAGTTTGGCATTTAAACAAAACAAATTTTTTTGTAAAAAATTCCAATCATGCTAATTTTTGAAAGGAACACTTAATAACCAAACAATGCTACCCAGTAAATTGAAAATAAAACATATGGTTTGGCAGTTATAGGAACTGATGACTATAGTGACAAGAAAGACATACTTAGTGTCTGTATATTTTATATAAGATCCTGTCAGATGTTGCACACTTTAACAATAGGTTGAATTCTACCAATCTGTCTTCCTACAGTTTATATAATGTGTGCAAAATTTTATACTACTAAATATTCAAATGACTACTTTTTTTTGCTCCAAACCAATATAAGAAAGTTTCTATAGTGGCAGCGATCATGTTGCAAAGATCTGTGACAAACATTCATAATGTTCATCATGGGTGACATGCCCTAGCTAACAATGCAGCTGTACTCTTAGTATTGTGAGAAATATGGAATAGATATATTGCCACCAGTGATGTGTATGTCATAGACACAGTGAGAAGCATGAATGGATGTAACGTATACCTTGCTATTGCTGGTTTGTCTGACTTATTCAAGGCATAATAACATTGTTATACAACACAAAACCGCAGTATATGGATAGATATCCATGTTGTATAACAAATATCTTAGATGAGCTTTGTTGCCCTAGAATTGCTATAACCCAAAAGCATTTGCTTTACACTCTCAGTATATACAGGATGAATGAGCAGGAACTGCTATCATGCCAACATCTCTCATCTGTATGCTCCCAGTGCACTGAATAGATATCTTGGAACTGCTGTGCTGCACTAGAAGTGCAGTGTTTTAAAAGGAAACTTACTTAAGTATACAAAATTCATGCCTCAGGGATCTGCTATGTTGAACCAGAAGTGTCATGCCCTAAAAGTGCAACACACACTCCAAGGATTGTCACAAATACTATAGCACAGGCTAACACCACTGTGGTCAAACATATACACTTTCGTCTGCTTTGACTGCTAAGTTCAGTGTCCTGGAAACAAAAGATAAAGAATGTGTCCATTAGGTTGTTTCATGCATTTGAAAAACACCAACAGAAAAAAAGGAAATGAAGCAGCAAATGTGAACAAATGAATAATAACAAGGCGTAAACCATAATGTCACAACCCTATTCATTACAGCCTTACAAAATGCTTGTGTATCTAACATCACTTACAATAGCTTGGGCTTCAGAAACTGTGCAAACAGAATTAAAATTTGACAATCAGGACCCTAATTTCAATTTAATTATAGTAATCTTGCTCGCGTGCATCTCCATTACATGGGGCAATACAACATAGGTAAATTTAAATGAGTGAAAAGATGCATCTTGAAGCATCCCTCAGTTTTAGTTACATTTGTTGATATAATATTTGTTTATAATATAGCAATGAAAAAGTTATATCTTCACTGTTCAATCCAGAGGTTTCTTTGCAAACAGGTGAGCGCAAGAGATTGGACTTACTACCAGTCTTTTAAGACTAAAATTAAAATTGTAATTTCCATTTAATTTAAAGTACATTGATTTGTTAATTTGTCCAAAACTTAGAGAGATGTAAAGTATCATCATTTGATGAAAATGGACATTTGAAGGATCTTGACGGAACACAGCTTTAGTTTCTACAAGCAACTGAAAGAAGCAGAATGCTTTTATTTAATGGTTCTATATGTCCACAGTATGTAAGCTTAGCATGACTTAAGAACATCCGTCTTTTCCTTATCCCATTAATCAATATACATATACATTCAAGCTCAATAATGATCAAATCAGGTAATTCCTTGAATGTTCTTAATTGCAATAAGATGATAAATCTTTAGCAGGTTTGGACATTTTAAAGTAGATGTACCATCCCTGGCCATATGAGATTATTGAAATGTCAATGAGCTACAAACAAGTGTAAGTATTTAATATTTTGAAAAGTAATACAAATGAAGAAACTAGTGGTCTCTGTCTGAGTATAAAGTGAGCTCCCATTTTTACCAGAAATAAGTAGTTTACGCCTTGTTATTAAGAAAGTGTCATTGAATTTTCAGAAATAAAGGAACTTGTAACCTTTCATTACATAAAAAAGGATATATTAAATACCCATCAAAGAATTTTACACACTGCTATTATGTTAAAATTGTTTTTTTCCTACATAGAACTTCAGTGTGCTAACACTTCTATCCATCCATATATAATAAATGGTTCCTTTCATGTACAATCAGAAAAAAATGCACTCACAGATGCACCACCTCCAACTGAAGAACCGTCACTTCCTGAGCAAGATCGATACACTGCAATAATCAATCAATGTTTTTTAATGGGCAACTCTTGTTCATAAATGTCAACATCGTGCATTGTCTGTGGGTTTAATGGCTATAACACATCTAAGCAAAAATAATACTTTTCCTTGATTATTTTTGACAACTTTACTTTGAACTCCAAGGTATAGCCTCTCTGGCTTCCCAGTTGGAGGATAATGTCTAGTAACCTTGGCTATAAACATAAAAGAATAGAAAACTGAGGTTTGACTAAAATATGTAAGGTAGAGGGAATAAATTGGAAAACATCACTAAAAACATAAATTTTGTGATTTTTTCTTCAACGCTTTATGTTTGTTATTTGGACTTGTATGTGAAAATTATGGCCGTTTTAGAGTCAGCATGTACATCATATATTGATCAAGAAAGCATAATTGTTTGGAAAGATTCTTTAATGTATGTTTAATGTATCATGTCTTCTTTCTTCTTCCAATAAAGGGGATTTATTAATATGCCGTAGTTATGCTTCTTACATGTCTCCACAGTTTCAAGATCTGGTTCTACTGTCCAAGGCTTGTGGTCTACAAGTTGAGAGCATTCATTCAAAACTTCTCGAAAATCAAGGACATCTCTAAATAAAACAAAACAAATAATAAGCTTCCAATTTTAGAAAGCTGCAAAAAATAAAATTCCATATAATGAAATAAAATTTCCAGTAATTAATTCTTTAAATGATTTTCCTACCATAAGCTACAAATGGGATTATTACCGCTTGAGCTTACACCAAAATTTACTACTTTCTTGTACCATCACTTTTTTCATTATCTTTGTTTTCATTATTTGTATTCATTGTCACCATACCTCTCAAGAATATCCAAATCTTCTTTCTCTGATACTTTTTTATCAGCAGCTGTATCTGTTCTTTCAATATATGAAATCTGTTTTTTATTTTGTCCCACATTTCCTTCTAAAAGGCCAGTTGCTATCAGCTCCACTAGGTTTCCTACTTAGAACAAATGATATTGTTGTGTAAGAAAATCTAACCGGCAGGTAGAAATTGCCACTGACAATCTGTTTGAAAGTCTACAGTAACAGAGGCTGGAGAAGACCATATTTTTCAAAACAAAATGAACCATTTTCATTAAAAAAATCTGATAAAGCTCCTAGACCTTTGAGCATTACTGGGGTCGCAAAAAAAAAAGAGAAGATTCGAACTGAAAACAAAAACTTATGTTAACTAAAACATACTTTGAAATATGCCAAATTGTTCCACATTCTCAAATCTTTACAAAAGAAGAATGCTACAGGCATCATTCAATGAATGGAACAACACTTTCATTAATTGTATTGATGATTACATAAAAAAAGACATGACTGGGTATACACTTTTAACGTTTCTGTACTTGCCTTATAAAGTCAATTGTAGTTATATTTTTCAACTCCCTCTTTATTTTATGTTTATTATTATTATTAATTTTTTTTTTTTTTGGGGGGGGGGTTATGGAAATTATGATTAGTACAACAGATTTCCTTTATTGAAGAGCACTTATTTGACTTGCCCAAATGACTGTCATGAAAAAACAAAAATAATTACAGGGTGCAAATGATATCATCAGAAAAATTAAATAAATTTGTATCTGCAATAAAGTTAACACTTAAGCTTAAAATTTGACTTTCAAAGAAAATTCAATTATTTTCAACAGATGCAGCATTTTGTCAATATATATGAAGAATAAATTCCAGGGCTCAAGGATACATGCAAGGTAGAGAAACTTTCATCCAGACAGATAAGGTTGAAAGCACATTCAAAATTAGTTTTTCCTACAAATGTCAACACTCTCCTGTTAATCATTAAGGGTATACAATATCAAATTATGATCAATAAAAAAATAATTTAGTTCCAAGTTTGTATTTTGGAGTCAGTTTTGCACTGAAGACAAAAACTGTTTATTCAAATTATTGTTTTTCTTTTTATCAGGAGCTTGTAAAATATGTGGATATTACCTCCAATATTGGAGGTAATATCCACATATTTTACAAGCTCTTGATAAAAAGAAAAACAATAATTTGAATTTATACATACAGAGCTAATGAAACTGTTCTCTCAAAAACTGTTGACTTTCACTTGCTTTTTAAAAAATTTATTTATTGAGGGTAAAAACATGAAAAATATAATATTTATCTTTCCCATGGCCCTTGTGATGGTAAAATGGTTTTAACTGGAAAAAGGGTTTGTGGAACATAATTTTTTCAACAAATTTGTTTAGGGCATACCTCAGTAATAAAGGGACCCTGCTGTAATTTCCAGGAAAATTCAAAGCATTGTATGCCTTTAATTAAAGAAATTAAGAAAGAAACATTTCAGAAAATGTCTGGAACCAGAAGACGGGTCTAAAGTTGCCCCAGTTTCTAGCTGTAAGCTACTCAGGAGGCTTCTTTAAGAGAGCTAATCTAATCAAGTCTTTGCTAAAATTGATGATCCACATTGCTAATCCAATATGTGCTGTAATAGATTATGCATTTTTCTTCAATACATAAAATGGATTCTATAGTACATGACAGATAAATATTAATATTAAACAAGATTTTAAAAAAAAGGTTATGTTTTGTTCTTTAGACAATGCTCACCTTGATGAAGTGGAAAGGCTTTTTGTAACATCACAGTTTTGCATAAATGGCTTTCTAAACTTTCTAAGCATGACATAAAAATGCTCCAAAGACGTTCAAACTCTTGCAGGTCTTCTTTGGAAATGGTTGTGCAAGCTGCACTGTTGCTGTGAGCAAAGAGGAAGACAAACATTTTAATGTACTGAGTGTAAAATTGGTATAATGAAATTTGTCTTTGTGAAAGATCAGAGGGGTAACTTAATAATAAATGCAGGTTAATAAACCCTTATCTATTTTAAATGATCTAGTGCTAATAGATGCTTTTAAAGACATGTATTACATTTTCAGATCAAAATACAATAGACCAATATGCTACAACAAACATATAATCTCAAAAATAAATAACCCCTTGCCACATTTAATCTTTTCTTACATGGTTGATCACAAAACAGGCAATAGATTTCTTAACGGAGGAGTTCAAGAGCCAGCCATTAGAAACTGGAGGCAAAAAACATACCTTTGAAATCAACTTCCATTAATACTTTTTTACACACAGACACTATTTCAATAAATTGCATGTATTAAACAGCCCTTTTTGCTTTTTGAATATAACATGTAAAAGGTTTATTATGACATTTCCAGCAGTGAAACAGAAAACGAGCCTGGAAGAAGATTACGGCTTGTACAAAAAAAAAAAAAAAAAAAACACCAACTTAATAAACCCTCGACTTATAGTTTGATCTTCATATGTAATCAATGTAATCCACAGTATATGGCATGCAAGGCTTGCATGGTAGGCTAATTCAATACTTAGTAATCTTACATGCAAATTTCACTACACAAATCGAATATATACATGTATGTCAGAAATAGCATTGAATTTTGTATTACTTCTAAGAATCTAGATTAGCATATATCCTATTATACACAGATAATTTGAATGCATTTAAACCTGAAATTTTTTCTTTGGTTATATATTAACAATACTATGCTGAAAAAATCTTGGATATATATGAACTCTTTGAAGCAAAAGCAGTATAGTAGCTACTCAAGTTGTTTCGCGTGGAAGCCTTGTGGATTTCATAAGAAAAAAAACAGTGGTGAAAAAATAGTATTTACTTCCGTAGGTATGGCATAAGCCTGGCCTTATTCTGTAAGACCAAGTCATAAGCCCTGCCTTGTGTTCTTCGCAATTCCTTTCTTAAGCTGTCATTATCACATGTTGTTCCCAAGGCAATCATCAACATTTCGTAATGGGCAGTATATTTGCTTAGTTCTTTAAGTAGCTGAAATGGACAAATCAAAATTATTAACACTTACGAATTTGACAAAATTATCTCACTAGTTTACAGGATCTGATGAATTAATTGGAGTACTTAATGCTGGCAGTATATTTAAATGACAATCAAGTTAATTAACTTAGAAAGCAGAAATAATTTAACAACAAGAGTTGCTTTTTTTAGTGGTATCAGTTTGTATTATATATCTATGTAATACTATTATAATTTACTAGGTAGAGAAACAGAATTAAGACAACAACATGTAGATCAATAAAAAACAGTTACATCTTTATACATATCATATTCCTACATGAACAACAACAAACAATTGTCCATATACAGCTACTGCATATAAAATATTATTGATATAAAACTAGGACATCTTTGGTCTATAAATAGCATGTGCTCTTTCCTTACTATTCTTGAAAAGTCATAAAATACTTAGCATTAGGTGTTCTGAAACAATTCAAGGACACAAATTTAAAAGATACATTTTTTGACTGGAAAAAAGAGCTGAATCTAAAGGACAACTAGGCAGCAATGCTGTCAAATGTACAGACTAAAAGCAGAAAATAATAATGCACAAAATAGGATACTGTCAATTCTGATGCAATAATACATTATGCTTAACTGCAAAGTCAAAAAAAGAAGCTAATTTAACTGCTTTTCCAACTCAGGCTGCATTTTAGTCCTATGTTTCTTTCCTGTAATTGTGAGAAGAGTAAGTGACGTGGTTTTCCTTTAATGGTTACTATGGAGGCAGTGCCCAAAATAGTGTTTTCTTCAATTTTGATGCAATATTACATAATGCTTAACAGCATAATCACCATCAATTTTTAATAATAAATTAAAAGTATCATGGAGATTCTGAAAATGTGACTAGCAAAAGCCCATGGAAATTCAGAGTCACACCATGAAAATGCCAAAATGTAAACAAGCGATAACTGTACTGAAATGATTTTATTTCCTTTTTCAACACCTTTTTACATAAAATGCATATATCAAAATATTCAATTTACAGTCATTTTTATATGATCAACTAAGAAAATTGTTGACATAGGAAAAATATCAATAGAACAATTGTGAAGGGTCCAATTTCATCCATTCTGAGATTCTGGACAAAGTGAATGATTGAATCTGACAAACTGCAATGATATGAGTTTATTTCCATTTTTAACTCTTTATTACACAAAACACAATCAGGTTTACCATCATTTTTTTATGATCAATTAACAATATTGTAAAGATGCAGAAAATTTGTATCTAACTAGTCTAATAATGAGACTGTTAACATGCCTGAGAATTAAATCATAGGAAAAACCACTTATATAGAAAAAAAGGCATAACTTCATCAAAACTCCACCGATCAAGCTTATTTTTGAACTTGATCTGTATATTAATAAGACTGATCACTCCTGTGAGTTGCAAGACAATAGGCCTATTGTTTTTTCTTTAAATGTGTTATCAGTGTTGCATTTATGCTGAAAAAAGCGAAAAAAAGCATAATTTTGAAAAAAATGGCCCAATCATGCTGATTTTCGATCTTGACCTGCATTTAATGAATATTCATCATCAGTTTTGTAAGTTTCAAGCCAAAAGGTAAAACGGTTTAATACTTATCGTGTTATTGGTGAAAGTGCACAGCGATGATGACGACGACGACAGACGCAGGTGACGGCTCTATGTACAGACACATCTGTGTCTGTACATAAAAAGGAGTTGAATTTTAGTCATACAATGCGTAGAGCAAATCCACATCATTATTGCCCAGATTTCATGAAATTGAAAACAAACTTCATGATAAAGGGTTAAATGTTGCATGAGTTGGTACTTTTGTGCTCTGCACTATATAAAATACAAAGAGAGAGAGAAAGTGAGAGAGAAATAGTATACAACAATCATTTATCAAGTAAATAAGGTAAAATCAATAAATTAATAATGGCTTTGCACTTAATCATGCTTACCTTAATGCAATCTTCCCTTGACCGTTGAATGTCTGATCTACATGATCGCACAGAAATAGAAGACCTAAAGGACATGGATCTTCTGGGTACTTTAGTGCTCATGATTGAAATATATGTCTCTAGTACAGATTTCCAAATTATTCCAGCTTCAATAAAACCCAATTAAAGTTTCTGTAATTGCAGTGCACCTTTAACTCTGAAAAGTCTTTCAAACACTGAATAGTTTATCTTACAACATATTGACACAATTGAAAGCTGGGTAGTTGCCTCCATTTAATGGATGAAAAGTTGCTCTGCACATGCGATTGGCATTTCACGGAGCATTTACTCCCAAGCTGTGTCATTGCCAGTGAATCTGGACTCTCTTTCCATCCTCCAACCAAACAAATATCTCCAGAGAATGACAAGCATGAGAGCAAAGCACATGTGCTGATCTGTACACTATCTGTTTTACTTCCAATCTTTTGCAGGAAAATAAAAGATAAAATGTTGTATTTGATCTTTCTATAAAATTAATCCCATTTTCTGTTCTACAATATCCATCTGTCATACACAAAAGTAAGGCTGCTTTAAAGTAGCTCACAACTGTTGACAGGTTTTATACTATGTCTGACTAATATTACCCCTAGCTGTAATTTGATTGCCACCTTGAGCATGAACAGCTTGCAATGAATCCAATAGAATCAACTAAGCAGAGTGTCTTTTAACATTCATCCTTAAAATTCATGATATAATCATTTCATAATTATTATCCCCATATATAGTTTTGTTGTCAATGACAGGAATTTCCACTTAACTCATGTGACTAAACCTATGCAGCCTTTGTGATTGCAGTTATGCAAATATGATCAATGTGTTATATTCCACTGAGTACCTATTTTCTAGCAACAAAAAATTATCCAGACTTTAAGAGCAGATCTGAAGTAATACGGCTTCATGTAATGTCCTCATCTGACAGCTCTATATGATTTGTGCTAGGATTAGACTTTAATCCAATGTCTGTGGTGGGCCATGACTTATAAAGAGGTTATTTATATACTAATAGTCCATTATATCTTATTGATTGAACTGTCTATTGCTTGCACCATGTATCACCTCTCTGTTTGGAATGAAGACGCTAAGAGTTGCTGTTCTTGAAGGATTACCTCAAGAATCACCTTTACCACATCCGTGTTCTAAAGTGGTTTCCTTCTGTAAAAGAAACATAACATATGAATGCACAGCTCACTCCTCTGGGGAAAACTCAAGTTCAAATAGTCCCATATTAATTAGCAAAAGTAATTAGGAAAGCCTGCAAAGGAAAAAAATCTTTTTCTGTCTGACCTTCATTTACCTGCATAAAGTCATCTTTGGCTTAGTGAGTATACTCATCATCTCCTGGTGAACTACTGGATTTCAGTTTGGTATAAATGTCAGGTTACCAGGAAAACACCTTCAAATTAGATTTGTAATTGATTATCTTCTATATGTGTTGGCTGACACAGAAGCAATCCTGTATACTTCCATTAGACATAATAGTTCAAAACCAATAAAATGTAACTGTTGTATCTGATTTAAGGTAAAACATTCCATAAAATAATACAAAATTGATAAAATAATATGGAAAAACTTGGGACCATCCTTTTGGAACTTGGTTTTGAAAAATTGAAACACAACATTGTAAAATATATATAAATAATGCCTTATTCTAAAATGGAATATCATTTTAATTAGTTAACTATGTTGTTTTTCATTCTATTATAAAAATTATTCTTATTATTAAAACCTTTGCACTGACAGGTGGTACTCTGATGGGACATGTTGTACACAGCATTTTAATGCTTTTGTTGTGGGCCAATAGATAATTGCTTGACATATATCCACATTGCTATCCAGAGACAATTTTTGATTCAAATGAAGGGAATTTGGTAGCCACTGTCATGTTATAACATAACATCTTTATAAGCTGGAAAGACTGTCAACACAAAAGATATACGAAAAAATGCACTTGCATACAAAATATGTTTGTACTGCTTGGATAGAGTGAAGCTGACATAAGGCATTAAGGGAAATATCCAAATCAATTTCATTTGGCATTTTGTGTCAGTATTTCACCCCTAGGCCTGTAAATACCTATAACTGCAATCATATGCCTGACCACAGACCTGACCTTAGAACTGAAAGTGAATTCTTTTGACTTGAACCATGCTTGCTCTATGTAGTCAATTCACTAAGCCAGGCTATCAAATGGCTGCAGATGAACAAATCTCTCGACTATAAAAGATTTTCTAAACATTGGAAAAGCTCAATACTGAAGCCAGCTCCCTCTTGACTAAGTAATGATTTATAGCATCATTATAATTGTAATTGCTCTTGTATACAGGCATCCTTTTACTGGTGCTCAAGGTATGAACTTTATAGTGATCATGTGAATATCACATGCAGGACTTGATAGCCAGACGTTTTCTTTAATCTTTGAAAAATTTAAATTTCAGGAAATATAGAAAAAACTTAAGCATGTGCAATAATGCAATAAGAATTAGCTAGAGCATTAAATACCACTTTAATTTAGTGTGTGTGTGTGTGTGTGTGTGTGTGTTTATGATCATGAGCATCGATCGTCATATGATCCACATAAGAAATTAAATTTTTTTTCCAGCAGTTTTAGACTAAATGTTAGTTCATAATATGAAGTTAAATTATAAACAAAAGTTTCTGTAGGCCTCAACTTCTTGAACAATGTCATGCAACATACACATTAAGATCATTCTCTAGTTTAATTGAAATGAATCAATGATCTCAGTTAAATATACATTTGAGCATCACTGAAACATAAAAATCTACCTTGGTGTGCTGCATAATATGGAATATCATTTTAATTAGAAAACAAAATTACCAGTTACCAAAATGAATGATTGCCTTCCTGATTCTTTCATACCAGTTCACATTACAATTACACTTACAATTTTTTATAATTGTTACTGCCAGTATCAGTAGCTTCAAAATATTTTGATCTTGTAAGCAAATGTGGTAAAGTGCATAAGTAATGTGGTAAAGTGCATAAGTAATGCTTATTCACTTAAATGCTTTGAATGATTTTTCTTTGTCTAAAATCTTTGTTTTCATTTTGAGGTGAAAAAAATGCACATTCTTGGTAGTGAAAATAATGCAAAATGTGGTCTGATATATTAGCTTGTCTATCCAGCTAATCATTAGAAATAAAACTGATTTAGATTTTTGCCAATTGTGTATGCAGTGATTATCTCAGGTGCATCAGTAACCTACAGTTGTCATCAAATTGAGGAGAACCATTGCAATAGTTGAAAGATCACATGAACTTTCAGTGACATGGTCCAGATTAAAAAGGTATAAATCAAATTTATTTCTGAAGAAAAAGTGCTGTAACAATGTTTATGAGTGTGGAATATTTTAATTTTGAGCCAACAGGAAGATGGTCACTTAGTTTGCTTTGATGTCCTTAAATCCCACAAACAATCCCTTTAACTTTGACATTTTCCCAATAAACACAACTTAATGTGGTCACTTTGGTCATACTATAAATTGCCAATGCAGTGATACAATTTGTTGAAACAGGTGAACTGAGCTTCACGGAACTGAAAAAAGAGATTAATGTGGCAAAGCCCATCCATCACTAGCCTGTCAACTAGAAACCTGCAGAACAATTGCAAATGGGGAGAAAAGATAAAGCCAATTCCTCATGACTCAGAAGAGTGTTCCAAGTAATTGCACAATTATCATCTCTTTCTCCACTACACCTAATAGCATCAAAGTTATTAACTTATGGATTTGGTTGCTTTTTCACATCAGTTGTATTTTTCCTCAGATGTAATGGCACAGAAACTCAGTTAACTGCTATGTAATACAGACTTGAGATTTTACACAAGATACAAGGCTTTGAAATGAGAAAGGGAGGGGAGCACATTGTTCCAGTGCCCCCCTCCACCATGTACACTGTGCTCTGATATGTGCTGTGTATTTTTGTTATAGCTTATTCTAACCAAAACAGCTACAGATGCATATAGTTCAAAGGGTAGAAAGCTTCTTTTTAATTAGTTTTAAAAGCTCCAATTAATGGCTCATTCATGAGGTATGGAAAATATGCCTCTTTGGCCAGTGAAACATTTTTTCTTTTTAAAACACCAATTCCACACAGCAAGAGAACTGTGAACATAGGACATGTTTCCCAGGAACAAATAACAAGGATCTTGCCATTTCCAATCAGCAAACACTAGTGAATAACATAACTCACTTTGTTTAAGGGGAAGGAGATATGAAATTTCAGAACATGATGGAAAAATATTATATTGCTCATATGCTGGTGGTGCAATCAGCTGACTGAGGGATAGATAGGTGGTGGCAGAGAAGCAAACAAACAAACAGAAAGACATGTCTAGTGTGAAGTTACAGGAAATTTACAATCATAAATTTGTATAGTAGTGTGTGTGGTGGAAGGGAGGGAAAACCTAGGAAAAAAATGGGGAGAATATTCACCCTTGTCTGTTAATTGTATATACTGTTGAAAGGTATAAAATGACTATCTAAAATAGAAAATGTCTCATATCACTATAAAGGAAAGACCCACTTTTATTGCACGTACCCTCCCTTTCTGATGTCCTGGTTCCACCAGTAAAATTGAGTTGTATCATGCAATCAAAAATGAACCTCATCAGCCTTGTGCTTTTATGTTTGTGATGTGCTCCTCATTTCCTATCTGAGATCTAAAAAATTGATTTAGACCTAATGCTTTTCTTATGATATTATTGGCCTGAAAGAATATCCATCAGTGGACACTTAAAAATCTGTGTTATTAGCCAATGTTCTATCAAATTACAGCCAGTGGATAACTGCAGTTGCAATTTTAGCATTCAGTTTGCAAAGTTGAACAAAATAATTAATATAACTGTTCAAAACATTAAAATCAGTTGATCTACAATTTTCTTTTTTCCTGCTCAATTTCAGTCTTCCTTTTTTCCTGCTCAATTTGCTCTTACCATCATATGGCCAATTTCCATGATATTTCCAAGGCAATTTTTTCTAAACTATCCAATCTGTAAATTTTCTCTTTTAGAGATAAATATGTATGGATTAGTAAAGTAAATTTGTTCACAAAATAGATTTTCTTTTGAATTAAAAATGCCTCCTGTGGGAGTTTTCACGAATAAGACAATTTCACTTTTGATCAAAATTGTTTACTTTATACATGTTAACTTGATAATAATAAGGATAATCATCTTAACTGA